GTCTACGTTTGCAGGATGGGTCCCGAAACAAGCTTCGTTTTGGCAGAACTGTCCTCGCTTGGGGAATGTGTCCTCAAGTTTTTCCAAACATCGTCAGCCTGGAGACTCCATCTGGTTTCCGAGCCTTCACTGACACCGTGTGGCAGAGGACGGAACAGCAAGGGCTTTGCTTAAAGCTCTGGGGAAAGTAAAGGAAAGTGCCAGAGGTGAGAGGGCAAAGGGAGAGTCAAATAGCCATTAGAAAAACTTGAGAAAGCTGGCCTGTGTGTTTGCACATGCAGGAATAACTCTGAGTGGTTTTGTATAATAAAAACAAAAATGCAGAAAATAAATAAAGTACACTTGGCAGGTAATTAGGTTCCATTAGAGCACTAGCAGTCAGGAGAAGCATGCACAACAGAAGTATTTTTCTACATTACTTCTAAAATTTCTCTCCTGCCTTTTTTTTTTTTTTTTTAAATTCTAATCCTCTTTTCTTCAACGCCTGTGTTAACACCACTTTCTTCATTTTCTTTCGCAGTCCCATTTATAGCTGGGACATCAAAGGCTGCATAAAAGCTTTGCGTATAATGTTAAATTGCGGTTTTATTCAATTATTTGTACTATTTCATAGATTTTTTTTTTTTAATGGAGGTCTGAAGAGCTCAGTTTGGGCCACTACACTGTGCCTCAGCTATACGGGCATCCTGTTAATGCTGTAATGCCTCCCAGGTTTTTTAGGAAGGTTGGTGCTGGCCTCATCTCCTATTTTATGATTTTGAAGTACTTTTTGGTAAAATATACTCCTAAAATATACTCCTCTTTGCTACCTTTCTCATCCTTGCTTCTCTTCTCCAGGCTGATTGGAAAGCTACAGCTCTTTGCTATTTCCTTCTGGGTAGGCAGATGGCATTTCCACTCCACAGGGCTTCCTTTCTCTAGCAGGTTTCTTGAGGGTTTATACGTGAGTTGAGTGCCTCCACTTCTCCACAGAACTGCCTGAGATGACAATGCATAACTCAAGAAGTGCGAGAGGAGAGTATATAAAATTTTTTTGTTCTGATATTTAACAAGCTATCCTATATTCAGTGGCATAGTCAAAGTCTTTTTTATGCCTATAAAATAACAATTTTTGAACACAGGCTAGAGAATCTTTCTCTATGAGCTGCCAGAGCACTGATATATCAGTAAAGCTATTGTCCAAGACTACTGAATAACCTTGTACTGTAATAAAGTCAGAAAGATATGGGGTCTGGAGGGAATATATTGAAGCAACTTTATGTCATTTAGGACCTGTTTATATCTTTATATCATTCTTTCCTATTCAAATAAATCACAGCAAATCCTCGTAGCTTTTTAGCTTTGCACTGAAATAAAATATTACCCATCCTTGCACAGGTTGAAAACAATACTGCAACCAGCAGAGGGCAACGAGGGGGGAGAAAGCTGACTTGGTTTGAAAATACTTCCTCTTCAGGGGCTTTTTTTTAATAATCTCATTTTTTAATACATTCATGGAATGAGTTTCTGGGATATTTAATTAATATGGTAGCATGTAAACACGCTAATTAAGATGCTCTTGTGCTACGTGCCATAAAAAGAATGGAAAATTGTTTTGTGCTGCAAAGAAGAGAAGAGGTCAAAAGGGGAAACACACAAGTATAAACAGAGAAATATGAAGTAACAGATTATCTTGCATTTCTATGCTTGTAAACTACTGAGTTTTTCCACCTTTGATTGTCTCTTGGCCCTGTGGATTAAAATTCAAAGGAATTCAGGGCTACTTTTTGTACATTGACTTTCCTGCATACTGCTATACCCTGAGTAGAAAGGGGCATAGGCTTTTCTATTGCTCTGAGGAATAGTAATTACTGAAGTTCATCTAAATTCCATCCGCGTTAAGCCAGTGTGATCTGGAAGGTTTAGTAAAGAGCTGGGAATTAGGAGTCCAAGTTTCTTATTCTCATCAGTGTCTGATTTACTGTATGACCTTTAACAAATTCTGGTTTGCACTTCACTTTCTTTGTGCTAAAGATGAAAATGATAATATTTCTTATCTCTCCGGGGTATAGTGCAGTTTCAGTTGCTCATACTGATAGAAAGCTTTGAACCCAGCATGCAAAATGCTGTGAATTGATTTCTGATATAGTTGGCTGCCACTGAGATTGACTTCACGTTTGTCAACTTAATGGATTTGTTTTACCAGAAATAATGTTTATGTTCAGGTGCTTTCCCCCGATGGGCCAGCACAGGAGTGAGAATAGGCCTGGTCAGAGAACATACATATCTGCTTAAGCCTTGCACCTCTAAGGACTGACATCAGTGGCTGAAAACAATGCACTCGTCTGAATTTGGTAGAATGTAGGACTGTTGAAACCACAGCATGAGAAAAAAGCAGCCAAACTGACTTTTAAACAATATTTTATTAAAATTTTGCCTACTGATAAAAGAATTAAGAAGTACAGAAAAACATTACCATTTAATATCAGCTTTTGCCTAAGTACAAGACAGGATCATACTTTCAGTATGAATTGCACTCAAAGAACTAACCATAAGTAAAAGTCTAAATCTTCAAATTTTTGGAGTTTAATGTTAAAATTATTGAAAGTGAAATAGTGTTTGTGATTTTTTTCCCCAGCATTGTATTTCCTACTGCAAACAACATTCCAGAGGGGCAGCAATGTATTATATTACTTCCCTGTTAGACGTTGCCTCTGCACTGTTAGACTGTAAGTTATAGCTGTAGCAACTGGGTGACAGACAATGGTAAAGCTCTGAATACTTATGTTGTAATTATCATACAGTGCTATAGAAATAAGTACTTTGCTGGGTAACGTAAATAATGCAAATGGGAAGAAAATACATATAATATAATGTTTCTGATTCTGATTAAACTTTTATAAGCTTTGCCTTTCAGGAAGAAAAAAATAGAAGGGAAAATTTCTCCAAAACCAGTACAAGAACAGTGACGAACTTTGTAGAAGGGTTTTCACTTGCATTTATAAGAGTGTGATACATATATAGCAAAAATTAAATTATACAAGCTATAAAATCTGGAACTATCTCTGCAACACACTAAAAGATAAGAAGAACACATGTTGAGTCACAAAAGAGATTTTAGATGAATCTTGAAAACCTCTATCCTAAAAGGGTATATGACAAAATCACCTTGTTTTGGAGAAACTGAAGGCCACCTAGCCTCTCCCTTTCTTTTTGTCCTAAATTACCTTTAAATGTCTAAGCATAGCCCTCATGAAGAAGTAGTGTCGTCTCAGCTCCTGCCAAAGCTCTGGTAAGATATCAAATGAGTATTCTGCCAATTTTGGTTACTGTACTCTCACCAGAAAGAGTTGATTCAGTCAGAAGAGTGTCCAGAGAGCAGCAACAAGGATGTTTGCAGATGTTCAAGAAGTGACTGGGAGTAAAAGCGAAAGAGTTCTGAAGTTCTGAGGAAAGGTGTAACAACAGTCTTTACATGCATGAAGCTTTGCTGCTGGGAAAAACTCTTCTTTCTGCCTGTATGCAGGAAAAAAAAAAGCAATATAAATAGCAGCAAAATTAAAGTAGATTAGATATGAGGGGGTTTTTTCTTAATAAGGAATATAATTAAACAGTGCCATACATTTAAGAGATGTGTGATATCTTCAAATATAACAGATGTAAAATGTAAACTTGCCAGCAATGGCTCAGTTGTAGTCTTGCTGTAGTTCTGTTGGTCTAAAGATTCAAAGAAAAGATTTTTTGGAATGAACTAATATATTTTATTAGATCAACTGATACAGCTGGAAGATAGACAGAAGCTTTCAGGCACATCATCCTTCTTACGATCTAAAGAAATATCTGATCTCAAAACCTTATGTGCCTTGAAGTCTGTGCATTTTTTTCCAGCTGTTTTAGCTAGTTTAATAAGACAATGGCTTAACTCTAGCTGATTCCATTTTAGATTTGGGCAATCTCTTGAGGACATTTTAAACTCAACTTTTAAACATTCTGTGATCTGTTTCATGTATCTAAATTAAGTATAGTGCTATATCCTAACAGATTAGGGAGACTTTGAATCTTCTTCTGGATTTGCATGATGGATGAATTGTTGTTGGCAGGGAAGACCCTTTGATGTACAGTGAGTTGTACGGTTTTCTTACAAGAAGTATTGTGGTGTTTCTGGAAAATTTTGTGCAGTAGTTTTTAAAGAGCTTTTGGTGACTGAATCTAAAACATTCAAAGGTTTTGGATTGCTAGAGTCTCTCAGGGTTTGTCTTCCAAAATTATTTTAAAAACTTACTTTTAGGCTACTTTCTCAGACTGAATTTTGGCATTTTTCATTTAGTAGCTTATGAATTCAGTGTAATATTGTTAAAGGACTGATTTGCCTCACTTGTAATTGGAAAAAGAGAGACATAAAATATATTAAATAAGCTTTAAAAGCACATCTTATAAAATGTCTGCTACATGCTGCTTTTGATCATCATCAAAAATATACCACATTTAATACTGCAAAAGTTACTTTTATTTACTTCCCCCAGATCACAGAGAATTTTATATATTTTATAACATTTTATATTTATATTTTATAACATTGTCTTTGTTTTGGCACAGTTTACAAGATCCCGTGTTCTAGCAACTTGAATTAAGGTATCCTAAGAAAACAGATAAACTTTTAAAAATCTAGATGTGTATTGTCATAGATTAGAGCCAACAGATGAAAAGAGATATGAAGACAGTTGTATTAATAGTTAGTGAAAATAAACTAGCAGAAAAATAAATTGCTTTTTGAATTGGATTATTTCCCACGCTGTTGTCTGTGGAAAGCTATTCATTGGGTACCAAGAATCTCTCTACATTTACCCTCGTTTCCACTCTAAAACAAAACATATGGTTCTTGCACTGAACTACATATTCAAACACTCTAACAATACAATAACAAATACTTTGTTAAACAAAAGACACAAACATTTCCTTCATTCTAAAAAGCCAAAAGTTTTCCTCTTTAAACATTCCCTAACTTGTCTTTCCGAATTCAGTTTGCATTGCAGTGTGGAAGAACCATCACATGCGGACAGTTACCAACTATTTCATAGTGAATCTTTCTCTGGCTGACATTCTGGTCACAATTACTTGTCTTCCAGCAACTTTAGTTGTGGACATCACAGAAACGTGGTTCTTTGGGCAGACCCTGTGCAAAGTGATTCCCTACTTACAGGTATTATTCTTCTATATTTGTGTGCACATTACCCATGTTATGAAAATGAGAAAGAACAATAACATCTTCCTAATAGTGATATGCCAGTGGAAGTCTATCCCTGATATCAAAGTAGATATCTCAGAGTACATGTTGAGGTCTAAAAGACTGTCCCACTCCTGAATATGTTTATGCTTAATAAATACCACATTTAGACTATCTGATTGTTAGACTTGGGCAATACACTTTCTGGAACACATGTTTGATGCTCTTTTTGTGATCTTTTTTAATGATTCAGAAGGGATATAAAGCAATAATGTCATTAATATTCTCTGTGTGTAGATCTAAACAGCTACACAAGTGTCCAGAACTGACAATCTGACTTCCATAGGCAGTCTGAGATTTTTTCATGTGTTTAATGATTTTGTATTCTTAGAAATAGTCAGAGTATCCAGGTTCATTGGCAGCTGGTCAGACTGTCTGCCTTAACCAATAAATGCCACCACTCATTTATCAGTGGACTTCTTAGTTTTGAGATCATTTGCATCAAGATGATTGACAAATATCTTTTTTTAAGAATAGGTGACTGGGCAAACTAGAATGACAAGTGCTTGGCCTTGTAGTCATTATAATTAAAAAAAAATTAAGCAGAATCTGGAATGTACGCATGTGATCACCCTATGGCTCCAGCACCATCCACATTTTCAGCAGATACCTCTGTGGCTGAAAAGCCACATTGTCAAGGGCAACAGTTCTCCAGCAGCTACGTCCTTTACTTGATACAGTCAAAATCACAAATTTTTTTTTCAAAGCCTCTATTTTAGTGAAAGAAAATCTGAAGAGTGAGTGACATGATCAGCAAGCATATGGAATGAAAGAATAAAACTGAAGTGATAGGTTGTTTCCTGTATGGAAGAAGAAGTAAAATGTCTTAGACTGCCTTAAGGTGATTGTTGTTGGGGTTTTTTTCATGAGACCCTAAAGTTCCATTGTCCCTGTGAAAAATAAAAGGTAAAATGATGGAACATATATGATGACCTAATTCATTGTCTAATGTTTCAAAAGTGTTTTTTCAGATAAAGTTTTGTAAATTCCCAGTTGATTAAATTTGCTATTTCAAAATTGGACTTTGCTACACCTACTCAGTTTAGGTAGCACACTAATGTTTGAATTGTCTTGTTGATTCTACTAGAACTACAGCACAGTAGGATGTCTCATGTAATTCTGTAAAAAGTGATTTCAAAAGGAGTCTTTTTCTGGGAATAATTTCTATGTAATGCTTGCAGATAAAGAACTATGTTGAAAATAGAAATAATTTTTAAAACTGGGGGAAAATACAATAAATAATTTTTAAAGCTCTGAAAAAATCCTGCATTTATGTTTACATAATATTTCTTTTCTTTAGACAGTTTCAGTCTCTGTGTCTGTACTAACACTCAGCTGCATTGCTTTGGATCGATGGTATGCAATTTGTCACCCTTTGATGTTTAAAAGCACAGCCAAGCGAGCAAGGAACAGCATTATAATTATCTGGATTGTGTCCTGCATCATAATGATTCCTCAGGCTATTGTTATGGAGTGCAGCAGTGTGTTCCCAGGATTAGCCAATAAAACCACCTTGTTCACAGTGTGTGATGAGCACTGGGGAGGTGAGTGTGTCATTGACCATACAAACTGAATTTGTACTGCTATTAAGTAATAAAAATGTCAGGACATGTTAATATGCAGTAAAATCATAAAAACATATCACAAAATGTTCTTAATTATATGAGCGTTCCTAGAACTAGCATTTTTCAAATACTGTGAAATTTTTGTGAATTTCTTTTGTATTGTTGAGACTTAAAGTACATTTGAAGTCAAGTTTAAGTGAATGAGGCTGACTTCTGTCTTGACCGTGTTAATGCTTCCCAGAGGGTAGAAATGTTCCCACCCTTAAATTCTTATGCTTATATAATTCTGTGACCGATGGACATCACAGGTTCACAAAGACTTCAGTGTTTAGCCTTAAGAAATAACTATGTAAGAACAGAATTTCTGTTTACCTGATACGTTGCTTTTACTAATTGGTGGTATTTAACTAGTCTTTATAAATATCTCCTGGGAGTTCAATGGAAGTTGGATGTCATTTCAGAATTAAAAGATGTCATCGATATGGCAGTACTGAGTTAATTTACAATTTGAAATTTTTCATGGACAAGATCATTTAAATAACTTGGTGAATGTAATCAGTTACAAATAAGTCTATCCAGGACTCATTTGCTCCGATTTGTAATTCTGCCCTTCCAGATTAACTGTGAATTTAACATGTTCTGTATCTGAATGCAGCTGTAAGAACCTGTAAGCGTTGTCAAGGAGTAACTACTTCTACTTTGTTTCCGTTCACAGCAAGTGGTGTGAGCCACCCACTCAAATGGTTAAGGCTCAACTCTGGTGGGCCCTGGCACACCTCCAATGCTAACAGAATGTATGAGTTACATGCTGTGACTCTGACACTGGATATAATGACCATCAGTAATACCATTATTCACAGACAGGAAAATAAAGCCAAGTTTGCCAAAACATATAACTAAAAGGTGCCTGTTTAATAGCCTTGAGTCAGACTAAAACACAATCAGATTCTCTCCCAGAGCTGTCCCTGTAGAAGATTCCAGTCCTGTGAACAATTACGATAAAACACAACTAGATCACCTGTACTTAATTATCTTGATAAATTAGTTTAAGCAGCTTGAACTGCTGAGGGCTCTTCCATGTGCTTTTTTGGAAGGTCCTCCCCTGCTAATGGCTCTCACAGGGCCACCAGAGGATTAATGAGAAAGCACCAGCTATCACATTCCCTGTTCTTTATCTCCTTCATCCCAGTTACTCCTCTGGGAGCAGGCAAAGGGACAGAGATGGCCACATTAGGTCACTGGCAGTCTTTGCTGACAAAGATGTGCTGAAAGTCTGTAGGTTGTTCATTAGCCTCTGTTAAGCTGTGAGTATTGTAATTGCTGTTTCATTAGAGAGGAAAAATCTGCTCTTTACTTCTAGTGTTCTTTTTTTTTCATCTGGGAACAATTTTGTATGCCTATCTGCTGCTGGATGCTACAGTCTCTGTGTGACTATTTTCGTTCACAGCATTCACTCCAAGCACAATTTATGTCCACTCATTTTGGCTACAGAACTAGTTATCCATGCCTTTATCACTTCGAGGTTAGTTCTGCAGCAAAGATTCTTTTAATCAACCTAGGAAGTGATGTGGTTCATTAATTAGGAAGTCAGGAGAGCATTTCATCAGGGAACGTGATCTCAAAATTTCCAGATCTGCACTGGCCACTTTTTGATTCCCAACAGGAAAGCGTTGCTTTTGAACTAGAGAGTCTGTAGTAGCCTTAGAACTATTTTAAAGAGTGCCTCTAGTTCAGTGCTGTGCTGAAGTAGTTGCAGCCCACAGATAGGCCCGAGCTGAAGCAGCAATCATAAAAACAACCACCACCAAAACCAACAAAACAAACAACAACACCAAAACAAAGCCCTGAGAACAAAAAAACGTGCCACGTGTTGGCAAGACTCTGCTCCTATGGAGTGTATTTGTCCAAAACAGGTTATTCTGTGAGCCTTCCCTTGGATATTTGAAGAGATAGAAAGGCATATAACAAAGGCGAATACTTGCGTATAGGATTAAGTCCTTTTTGTGTGTGGCTTCAGAAACAAAGTGCAAACACTTCTTTTTTTTCTTTTTTTTTTTAATTTTTATTTCTATTGAGCATGAAAAAATAATCTTACATTAAAAATGCATTGAAGTTTTCTGAAATGGGAAGCTTTTCACTCCAGTAAAAGATAATAATCCTATTTTTATTCTACAGTCTTTTTAATGAATTATTCTTCTAATGACAATGCGCCATCACTGCTAGTTATTCTGCTGGTGTATTTCAGATATCCATTAAAAATAATCCTCTCCACGTTCTAAAAATAGCTTTTCACAGTAACTCGAAAAAAGAATCTTTATATGCATTAAGTTACAAGTAGATTGCTCAAATCATGGAGTTACTTAGTAAATATAGTGTTAACCTTGAGGAGCCCCTGGTGGTCTAGGGGTAAAGGCGCCGCGCTATCACCACGGAGACCCGGGTTCGATTCCCGGTCAGGGCCACTCCCGGGCAGGTGGGGCTCGTTAGCCCTTAAAGGCAACCCACCTACGTCCTAAGGACCTCGCTGCCACCGTCCAAGCTCGCTTGGCCCCGGCAGATGAACCTTAGGATTAAAGGGTGGGCTCAGTTCCGCGCACACTGTGTCTCACCTAAAAAATCCAATGCGCAGGCTGGAAGGTGGAAAGACCTTCCCCGGATCTTCGCTCGCGAAGACTGGCCATTATATTATAGTGTTAACCATATTTTATCAATGAGAATAAAATATAACATATATATACACATTGCTTTCAGACTATAGAGACTAGAGTGTAATTATAAAAATGCTTTCCATTACATTGAAAATGTCTAAGGACTCTGAGTTGGGCCAAAGTAGAGAATGTGCAGGTTTTCTACTGAAAAACAAGGTTCGAAACCACAAAGGCCCCCAAACAGAATAACAAAAGAATATGGTAACAGAGCAGCAGTTTGAAAAGACTGAAAAACTTCCTTAAAGCCAGAAAAAGAAAGAAAGAGCTAATGTTTTCAAAGAAAATAGTTGTGTTTTTGTTGGATTTTGGTTTGCCTTTTTATGACTGTGGGAATATTGAGGGTCAAAGAAAGCTAAGCAGGAGGAGGTGGAAGGAGAAAGAAATTCATGTTGCTACAAGTAACCTATATTTGTAAAGAGAAAGTGGACTTATAGATACCTCACCTAATCAAGACACCCTGAGGAAATCCTATAGGAGAGTCAATTTAGAGGAAAGAGATTGTATTTGCGTGTTTACTGCTTTGTTTAGAACTGCGTTTAATTCATGATGTTTAAAATTAGGCTACATCTGATAAAATCACTGCATAGCATCAGGTATACCATATGTCCGAAGGATGTTAAACTGTGATTTTTCAGGGTTGGGGTAGCAAAAAGGGGGTGCCTAATGACACTTTCCAAAGTGTTTCAGAAGTATATTGTAATTCTGGGAACTCAGGGCCACTGAAACATGAGGTGCTATGGAGGACTAACGGGAAGCCACGTCCAGGAAAATGTCAGAGATGCTAAAGCAGGACACAGCACTGTACCCTACCCAGACTTAGGACCAGCTGTTGAAGACCACAGAAGTCTGATGAGTGTCTAGAGGGAAGGTCTGATCAGCACTGTGACACTTGGGCTCCTTAACAGTGAAGAAATAGTCGCCTCCCTGACTAATAAGATTCCAAGCATGCTGCTGGAGAGCTGCCAGTGACTGCAAATGGTGCAATAGTTCAGCCTAAAACAGGGCTCAATTTCTTTTTAATTGCTTCTGGCATTCCTGAATGTAAAATTCATTGCCAGTTCTAGGCTGAGGGTTTTTCATTTTGAGTACTGTCTAATAACAATATTTTATTTGGGAATGAAGAAGGATCCAACATGTGACCTATGGAAGCACACTTAAGGAGCCAGAGTTGGCCACATTTCTATAATAGTCTGTAATTGTTACGTGCTGAATTTGATGATAAAGTGCCAAAATAAAAGAAATGTATATTAAAATGAGTTCACCATGTGTCCAAGTCAGCTAAATACATTTTCTTAGAGCTGTTCAAGAAAAAAGTGTTAGCCAAAGTCTGTCAGCCAAGCCCTTTGCAAATGATAAAAAGAATATGGAGATAATCCTTTCCCAAAACTGGGTTGAATAGAAACAAAGGGAAGACTTTGTGTTCCATTTCCTCTTACACTACTCATGCAATAGTAAAAAACACATTGTCCTAATACTGGAAGACAAATAGCTGGAAATTGCATTAATACAGGAAGTTTATACATCCTGTTTATTGAAGTGTTCATAATGTAATGAAAAACTTGTGGAATATTTTAATGCAGAAAGAAGTCAGATTATTTCTAATACTAAAATTATGCTTGCTGTTATTGCGCATTGATAACTCAAGCATAATATATTAGATCTCAAAATGTAATTTTAGTATTAGCTAACCATAAGCCCTCTGACATAGGAACATAGTTTGGAAAGGACTGCATTGTGTGGTTGAATTTTCTCTACTACAAGCACCTAACATACCTATTTATTAAGCTTTATTCTAAAAGTATACTCTTTAGGCTGCATTGCTTCTCCATTGGTAACTCCAAAACCTTATAGGTATCTTCCTGAGAGTAAGGAACACGGGAACTCTACTGACACTCAACAAACTTGATAGTCTTGTTTTTCCCTATTCCTAATGAAGCTGTCAAGAGTATCAATTTCATCATGCACCTATGGCTTAAGGACATATTTCATTTGCTAGACATGCAAAAACTTCTGAGTCTGTTTTTTAATCATTTTATTCATATATATATATATACACACACAAATACTGCATATTTCAGTATGATTACAGTATATGAATATATATCTGGCAAAAATCCAGAAGCTGTAGTTCCAGTCTACCTCCTTGCTTCATTGAATGACATTTGGGACTGGTAGTCAGTGCCAAAAAGGAAGCTTTAGAAAAGTTTAAAATTTGTTTGATAACCCAGGGGTTATAGATGAAAGCTTGTTTTAACATACTGATTCTTTATCTGGTGGAGTAATTATACTGTATGAACGAACCTGACTAGGTAATGCTGACCTCAACCCTGCCCAATCCCCATGATCACCTGTTTGCTTTATGCTCCCTTCTCTCTTTTAGGTAAAATAGCAGCCAGAGACATGAAAATTGTTATTTTATTCCTAAAGAGATGGTTATTCCTGCTGAGAACAATCTCCCCGTCTCCTGAAACCCGTTAAGTGACCATGGAAGGCAAAGACACTTTTCTCCTCTTCTGCTTGGCAGTAAGAGGTTCAGTAGTCCCAGTCAGGCAGCTGATATATCACCAGGACCATAGACTGATGTCCAGAGATTGATGTTCTCATTCAAGGAGCCTGGAACTCATTTGACAAATGAATGGTATCCAAAGCCAGCCCTTCCTCCTTCTTGCTGCTGTGATTATCAAACAGCTTTAAAGCTTTTCTTTGGCTTGAGAAGCTAAACAGAGTCATGCTTCTTAGGGAAAAGTCCTGTAAAGGGCTTTGCCCTGGATGGAGGAGGGACAGGTTTCCTTTGATGTTTAGCAGCTGGCACTTTCCAGGTGGCTAAACTTCAAAGGCAAGTGTTAGGATCTTCCTCCAACCTGCTTCTCAGTTCTTTGTAGATAGCTAGGCTCATTTAATGTTTCACTTTACTTGGAATGCTAAATTGGAAGTCATAAACTCCAGATGGCCTTTTAAATATGTACCATCCTTCCACCTGAAAGGGGCCTGGCTGCCTGCAGAGCATTGATGAGGCAGGTGGCACCTCCTTCTGAGCAGAAAGAATGTACTTTCAATTCTGACCTCCCATGATCCCAGTAAGCCACATTACTCCAGTTTCTCCGTAGTCTCTCCACCTGTGAAGCATGCATGTCAGTATTGTCATGTCTGACAGGACGGCTGTGAGGCTGCATTTTCTGGAATGCGAAACCAAGTTTGAGATCATCAATCAATATATAATCTCAGGTTATCACCAATTATAAAAAACCTGTCCCAAATGGTCTGGCTCCCCCAGGGACATTGACAAGAGCTAGTAGCTGCAGCAGCTAGTTAAGAGTTGGTAAGCTGGTTTGCTAAAAGATCTTAGAGCAAGTAAGGAGTCAAATACTGATCATCTGTATTTTTTGAACCCTGATCCATCAAAACTATCAAATGTCAGTGGCAATATGTCTATTACATTTGCTAGGAATGAACATGGGCTGGACATTGCTATAGAAAATTTCCATCTCCCTGATACTGAAGTTTTTCTGACCAGTGAACCAGGTGGCACTTTCAGGTCTAATGATGAATCTGAGATGACTTGAGTCTGCATTTGAGAGTGAACCTGGAGTTATGATGATGTTCTCTTCCCTGCTATGAGAGTTATGGGCCAAGTCTTTGTATATCCTTGTCTGATCAAACTCTCAGAGATTCTCCTGGCATGAGAGGGATCACTTCTTTGATAGGGTCCAAAATCTCAATCACTTTAAGAGGCAGAAAATAAGTTTGGCTCATCAAAATTTTGACCTCATGCAACTCTTCTTTTTCTTTTCTTTTCTTTTTTCTTCTTTTCTTTTTTTTTTTAATTAAAACTACAATTCATACAGAGTTTCAGCTGCAGGTCTTATTACCCTGAAACATGCAGAAAATCTGGAAATTAACATAAAATTTCCTCTTTACTCTAGTCAAGATGCTTAGGATTACCATGCAATTTAACTGCTCATGGGGTGCACAGTTTCTCTTCTTCTATGTATTGTCACTCTCCATCATGTTCATTCCTTTTCTGAGGCCATCCATATATGTTAAGTTGTAATTAATATTAACATTTGGTAATAGCAAACTACATTTGACATTACAAAAGAAAAAGTAATTTTTCATGTACTGCACATTCTACTATAAGCTAATGATCAAGCTTAAGATCCAATATTCTTAAAACTCAGTACATTCACAACAGTTTTAAGATATTTGCCTCTAAGCAAATAACATTCATAGGTTGTCTTCTTAAAAGAGATACATTGGAAACTAAAACACAGTGGTAGCAAATTCATTGTTGTTAAAGCTGAGTCCAAAAAAACCTTGGAGATTTCCTAGGTTTAAAGTACTTGAATGTATTAATTCTAGTTTTTAAATGCAATCATAATAATTAATCACTGAGTCTTAATCATATATATTATTCCACCAAAAAGAGATTTAACTCTTCTCCCATCAGTCCCACATGCTACAGTCTGTATTCAGTCTTTATAGGTGAGAGACTGTGCAGTTTACTCAGGGATATATGGTAGCCTTTGCAGAACTGAAACTAACAGAGTTATACAACCTGTTAAATATGTCAATGGTGAAGTAGACTGGACATTTAGTTAGCTATTAGTAGATAACCAGATTTTTTATCTTTCACTGTTGTAATAAAAAGCAAAACTTCTGAAGACTTCATACCTAAAGTAATAATGTGGTAAGAAATCAATAATGTGATATAGGAGATCCTTGAGATAAAAGTATTTTTCTAATAGAATGTATCTAGAAGTGATTTAAAAATCAATCTTGACCATAATGTTATCAGATACATCTTCCATTATGTCCTATTGTGTTGAAAAATACATGCATATCTATATAAATAATTTGTCTTAAGGGGATTTTGAAATGTACGTATATTTAAATGCACCTTTCCTATTTGAACTCTCTTTCCAGCTGAGGTTTACCCCAAAATGTATCACACATGCTTTTTTCTGATGACATACATGGCACCCCTGTGTCTTATGGTGTTGGCCTATTTGCAGATATTTCGAAAGCTGTGGTGTCGCCAGGTAAGTCACTCAGCACCGGCTCTGTTTGCTTTCTGCTGTGACTTTGTGCAGATTTCTGTGTACAACCTTTTTCTGTATAAACTCCATGTTTTCACTTAGGGCTGGTTTGCAGCCACCTTGGATAGGCATTGAGGGGCATTGAAAAGTGAAGGCAGTCAGGCTGAATGTAAAGCCTTCTTACTCATATCTGTGAAGGGCTTAGAAGGAGAAAGAGAGCAAAAGGCAACAGAAAGACTGATTACAGACAGAAGAAAAAGCTCTGAAATGCTTACTCAAATACCTTAGGTGACCTTATTTAAACTGCTAAAATCTCCTGTAACAGTCAAAAGTTGAGACTGACCTTTTCATTTTGTTATTTTTATTTTTCTTAATCAGTTTGATAGCAGGTCCAATATGAACAAAAACTAAACTAGAAGGTCTGGCTATCAGGACTGGGAGACTGGAATTGCCTGATGTGAAGCTGGCTGTTATTAGTAACATTTGATGTGAATTGTTGACAAATAATTGACACGATTGACATGATTTCTACTGCAAACATCTGTTTTTTTAAAACTTCAAATTAAAAATACAGGAAAGGGAACAGGAATACTAAACAAAAAAACCCAAACCAAGCCAAAACAAACAAACAAAAAACCCCAAGCAGCCAAATACACAAAGAACATTTGAATTTAAGAGGCAAAAAATGATGTAATTTTCTTCAGGGATGTTTAAGAATAATTTTGTGGGCGTGAACTGTAATCTGTCGTGCACCAGTCTATGGTGCTTTCTGCTGTATTCCTCTTTGTCCAGGATTTATCTGCAGCTGTAGTCCTCTGCCTCCACTGCCCTGTCATTCTGTAAAGGACAATAATTTTTCACTGTAAAGGACAGTAATGTCCTCCTGTTGGAGACACTGTGCAAGATGTTCCCTCTCAAATGGCTCTAACAATGGTTGATATTTCCATTAACATGTGGGCATGGATCATAGAATCACAGAATCAACCAGGTTGGAAAGGACCTCTGAGATCATCAAGTCCAACTCTTGATCCAACACCGCTGTGGTTACTACACCATGGCACTCAGTGCCACATCCAGTCTCATCTTAAAAACCTCCAGGGATGGTGAATCCACCACCTCCCTGGGAAGCCCATTCCAAAGTCTGATTACTCTCTCTGTAAAAAATTTCCTCCTATATCCAACCTAAACCTCCCCTGGAACAGCTTAAGACCGTGCCCTCTTGTCCTACTGCTGTTGTCTGGGAGCAGAGACCGACCTCCACCTGGCTACAACCTCCTCTCAGGTAGCTGTAGAGAGTGATGAGGTCACCCCTGAGCCTCCTGTTCTCCAGGCTAAACAACCCCAGCTCCCTCAGCCTCTCCTCATAGGACTTGTGTTCAAGAATGTTTTCTCTCTCACCAGTATGTCTGATACCATCCAAATCGGAGGCTGTCATGGGCAGGCCATAATATCTACCACATAAGGAACATTTTTCATGCCTTTGAAATTGATCCATCAGAGAAATCACAAGTAGATTTTGGATTTCTAAATATACATACAATAAAAGTAAAAATCCAATGTTACACTGACAGAATATATGTCTTGCAAGTAAGTAAAGAACAGGGAATACCAAATCCACTTTAAGGCATTTTGCTGTCATCTAGACATCATAACAGCAATTATTCTCACTTCTAATCAGATTATCTTAAACTAGAATTGCTGTTTATTTTGCTCTTTAAATTATTAGTTTTGCTTTTAATTTCTTACATTTATAAGATTAACTAACAGAATAGCTTGAAGGTAAAATTTAACCTTTACAATTTGAGGGACCTTTCACCAGAACAAAGGATTTCCCTCTGTGGTTTTGTAATTAAGTTCAGTCTGACATAGTTCTAAAACACTCTCTGATGAATTTGTCCTGTATCACTTTATCACCGTATTCCTTCTTAACCTTCTCTTCTGTACTTTCTTTACATCCTACCTAGTCTCTCAAGCTTTTAATTAAGTAAATTAATGCAAAGCAGTTGTTCTTAACCTGCATGTATCTTGAAAATGCTGGTTCAGATTCAGAGCAGAAGTCGAATGACTGAAAACCAATTTCTTTTGTTGGGTTGCCCTGTTCCCCCTCAGGGGTATTAGTTGGTTTATTTGTTCTTCACAGTGTTTCTTTTCCCTATATATCTTGCATGCTATCAAGGCTAGGATGATCCTTTATTTTTCAGTGGCAAAAAGATAAATACTACTGCAGGCTTAGTGCTATCAATGGTGCCAAATTATAGATGTGTCTTTGCCTGGCATAGATAATAGCACTATGTATAAGAGGCTACACTGAGTGAAATTAAAGCCCCTGCACATCTATTATTAACTGTTACTCAGCTGAGGCATCAGGCATTTTTCTAAGTGCAGCAGGTGTGCTGTAATCAGTCATGTAGCACAAACAAATGTAGTGCCCTAAATGTATTCTTTGATAATAGTTTCAATTAAGAAATCATGCTGTTTACCAGAACTTCAGTTAAATGTAATGATCCTATTGAAAGGTACAGTAAGTCTTACAGATGTACATGATAGAAAAAACACAACAAATGGAAGATGTTTTCTATGTCTTAAACTTTTTCTAAAGGTTCTTTTTTAAAATGTAGTGTGCCATGTATGAAAATTTTCAGATGAAAAAAGTTAAGATTTTCTTAACTTTTCTTTTCTTTTAACCTCTTAACTTAAGCAAAGCAATTTTTCTTAAATTGGATAATATCCACTCTAATCCTCCCCTGACACAACTTAAGTCAATTTCCTCTCATTCTATCTTGTAATACATGCGTGTATGTTTACATAAATACATATTTGTAAATCTTTCTATATACACATGCACACACACTTCTGAAGTGTACTGCTCCTTAAATGATACTGGTTCAGTTATGCATCTGTGGGTATATAGTTTGTTTGGGGGAAGGGGGTTTTCCTGATAATATTCTTGCTGCATTATTGTCTATTGGTGTAACTCCAGCAAAGCCCAGGTGTGTAGCAGGTAAAGACTGAGAAAAAATGGGCTCTTGTAGAAATGTTCTCAATACAAACTCCTGAGGAAGTTAGCAATTTAATATACAGTACAGAGAGACTGCTCATTGTATACAGTCTTAACTTTGATCATCTCTTGCTAATAAAGACTGCTTAAATAATAGAAAAGATCCTTCTTCCTGCTCATACAGGTACAAACCATGCACAAGGTCATATCTAACTTTTCTCTAGAAACAGACACTCACAATTTGGAGCCAAGATAATGTTTATTTTCTTCTAAATTGTATCTATCATCTACCATGAAAGCTGGTCATTGATTTCTTCAAGTGAATCTTTGACATAATCAGGAGGGAGAGATTTGGCTGAATGTCTTTGCTTTCACCTCCAGTTCTTGCTAGAATACATTACTCAGTAGGACTGAAAAGGGACAAAAAAAGCTTCTGATTCAAAGTTAGAAAAACAGTATATCAAAGTATCCCTGAAAAGCCAGAACCAGAATCCTATACAGCATTTTAACTCAGCAGAGCATGGCAAAGACACACTGCAGTAGTACACCCCACAGCTAAGTAGGGTAAATCCCTTGCATTAGGACAGACATGCAGTTGTGAAGCTGATAACTGCTGATTTCAGCTGAATGAGTGGAAACCACAGTAGAATTGCAAGGGGCTCTGTTGAACTCTTTAAGTCCATAGATACCTTAGTAAAAAAAAAAAAAAAAAAGTTATCACCTATCTCCCAATCTGCTGCACTGATTTCCTGCTCATTACAAGCTAACTTTGCCAAAATGTTCCCATAGTTGTAAATCAGATTTGATGGTGCACATAAATGCTAAATTAAGGGCTTGTCTGTGCAAGGAAGATATTCACACACAAAACCCCCAACAAAGAAACAAACAAAACAACAACTGACCAAAAAAACCCCCAAACTAAAAATACCAAAGCCCCAACATAATAGCTTTCTACAACAATTTTGAATGGACATACTTTTTAGTTTACTTTTATTTCTCTGGAACAAATATCAAAAATTTCATTCTTTTCTGGTCAGTTTGCGTGGATAAGCCCATTTTTTTAAAAAAATTATAGCGTGCGACTTTTGCAGATACTTTTAAACATGAAACATTATTAAACACGAAATGTGACTAGTCACCTCACACAAAATTGCTATTATAAGTAAAACTATTATTTATTTATATTATTATATATTATATAACTTATTATTTCTAGCCAAAAGGTTTTCATACTCTATAGCATTGAACACATTATAAATGCAATGGTCATAGAGTTCTCTGAGAAAGTCCTTGCTATCTACAGTCTTTTCCATTTGGCTGCAGGTAGGAAGTAATTTTGAAGAACTGAAGTAAAATTGTTTTATTTGGCTTGTCTTATGTGAGGGTACAGAAGACAAAAAACAAGTTTGCTTTTTTTTAATAGCATGGTGCTACATCTACCCATTGCAAAATGACTTTAACTAATTTAACTCTTACTATGTCTTGGCATTTTTCCATGATTTCCCTCTATTCATTACTGTATATATATATATATACATATATATATATTGTATATTCAGTTTTGAAGAACTTTGCAGGGAGATCCACACTTCAGCCGTGATTTCCTTAGCTACTTCATTGCCATCTAGGTTGCATGTGTGGAAGTTTTCTGGCACTTAGCAGTTGTGCGGGCTTTAAATCCTTGTTTTCCAATGCTGAAAAGCTGTTTAGTACATACTAGCAGCACATTAATGGGATACACTATTCTGCTATGCAACAAAATATTTAATGTAGAACTTTCTAGCAACACAATTGCATCAATGGGATTGGTAAGTGTGATGGTCTGAAGACACAAGCAAGGCAAGGTATGTGGGAAGTAAAGACAATTTTAGTACATCAGTTAATATATTTGTATAAAACACAATTTTTATGCAGTTCTTCTAGTGTGTCTGAAACTGAGTTTGTTTCTTGCAGCTATGTCAATTAATATAACTAAAAACTCCTATTTATCGCTGTGAGCTTGCATTGTGTATGTCAACATGTCTATTTTTCTTGTTGTATCTACATACCAGGTTTTCAAATGTTTTTCAAAATGCCCTTTTTTTTTTTTTTTTGTCTTCTTAGATCCCAGGAACTTCTTCTGTTGTTCAGAAAAAATGGAAGCCTCTGCAGCCCTCAGCACAGCCCCGAGGGCTGGGACAATCAACAAAGTCAAAGATTAGCGCTGTGGCAGCTGAAATAAAACAGATTCACGCAAGAAGGAAAACAGCACGTATGCTGATGGTTGTCCTCTTGGTTTTTGCGCTTTGTTATCTACCAATTAGCATCCTCAATGTCTTGAAAAGGTAAAGTTTATCCCACAATGTAAATACTTGGTAAAGCTTTCTATCTAAAAACAATCCTCTATTATGAGATTCCTTTTATTTTGGCAAATACTTTTGAAACTTACTTATTGCTCAATAAAGAAATGGAAAATATGCATAAAATTGCAAGAAAATATTATATGTAACCTATCCATAGTACTTCAACTAAAGGCTGGATTGTGGAACCCTTATTAGCAAGCTCTTCCTTATGAAAATGATCTAGCCTGTCTCCTCATTAAACCTTGTTACTTACATGGGATTACGGCTTGGTTGCTATAAATACACCCATGGAAGTGCAGTTACCTAAAGCAGCAGCTGAAGGTTAGTACCAGAGTGTAGTGTTGTGGCTTCACTTGAAGGACTGAGAAATTCTGGGTTCAAACCTAAGTTCCTCATGTACAATTTTTAGACCTTAGGCTAACCCTTTCAGTTAGCCTGAAATTGTTTTTCTGTGATACTGCAAATAGGTCATCAGATATAAAATTAGGCTAGAAGTTGTAAAATTTTTTTATATGATTTCTAATTCAGCACAGCCTTATGAAGCTATACATTCCTTTTTTAATCCTTTTTTCTCCTGAAAAAAGGATACACTCTTGTTTTTCACACAGTGCCTGATAGGCAGACTTTGGTAAAGTTACATCTCATGAGCCCTTTGGAATACAAATAAATAACTGCATATAGCAGAAGATTTGAATATCCTAAAAAATAACCAGCCTGTTATTTGTGCTTTTTTATTGGAACATTTTAGTTTTTAAGGAATAGATTCAATGCTTAAATACATCCCACTCAATCCTGGCCTGTTCCTGTGGCCTAATTTAAGTACTTTTCACTCTCATGTCTTGGTAGGAGATGTGGCGAGAAGGAAGTATTTCCAGAATGCTGTTCAGGAACCTACAACCTGAAACAGAGGAACTACACAGGCTGCCTCAGCAAACAACAGCAGAGTAGGCCCAGAGTTAGATTTTCACTGAAATGGCAAAAGTTAGGTGTGAGGAATCTGGAAAATACCGATTTCTCTGGAGGACAGAAACTGCTACTATAGCCTTAGGGTTGCGGCCAGTTACACGCCTTTTCCATTCCAGAGTCCCTATTTATTGGAGAGTGGGCCTAGAACTGGGAACTTCAATGACATGAGTAGATCAAAAGCAACTTTTCCCATCTTTTCTTGGCTTACCTGACACGAGATGACTTTGGTTACTTGCAAAAGAGTTGTGTATCCGCACCATAGCAAAGTAAAGTACTGATGGTCTCTGTTGTGCTAAACCAGCCAGACAGGAGTCTGAGAGTAGGGGAGAGGACTTTATTCTCTCAAGAAAGAGAGTACTATTGAATCAGCTTTTCTGTGATACCACAAATAGGTCATCAGAGATAAAATTAGGATAGAAGTTGTAAAATCTTTTTGTATGATTTCTAATTTTACAGTCTCTCAGGTTTGCTTTTCTCTTTCTGTAGGGTTTTGGGGATGTTTAATCATGCTGACGACAGAGAAACTGTATATGCCTGGTTCACATTCTCACACTGGCTTGTATATGCAAACAGTGCAGCCAATCCTATTATTTATAACTTCCTCAGTGGTAAGTTACAGTTATCTAGAATTCAAGTTTAATGTATAGTTTGAATGTAATGAGCCATAGCAAACAAGATTAATGACTGTGCAACATCAGCTCAGCTTCTCCGGTGGGAGCTAGACCTTCTTCCTGGAACAAGTTGCCTGAAGTATCCCATTACCTTCAGGCTATCTACCTATAACCAACCTGGACAGTGCCAGGGCCTGAGTCCAAGTGCTTGAATATGACTGTCCATGACATTAATTTGGTAGAGAAGTTCCTGGCATGACTTTGATCTCAAACAATTACTGTTCTGCTAAACATTCCCTGGATACTGTCTGGGAGGTAGCACAATCCAGGGGCTGTCCCCAGCCAGAATGCTGTATGCAGGTATCGGGATTTAGAGGCTGTGAGTCTTTAATAGTACTTGCATGACCAGATTGTGCCAACTGGGTTCAAGGCCAAAGAACCAGCCAGGATGTTGTTTACTTACTAGTACAATTTTGTCTTTGTTCGTATTTGTATCATTTGGCTACGAGGAAGAAAATCAGGGCCTAAACTGTATTGCAGCTAAAGCTGCAAAGGACCGAAAGCTGTACTGCAGCTAAATAGAGGGAGGCAAAACTATGCTGATTCTCACTACACATTTGCCCACTATAGTTTTTTTTTCGGTGTGTAGTGTGAGGATGATCTGAACAATTTCCTCTGAGCCCCAAAAGCAGACCAATGGGCTGTTGAACACTTTAAATCTTCTTTTCAAATATATTAATGGTGAAACACAAATTAGCCATGCTCTCTCATTTTACATGTCAAATAATGATTCAATCATTTAAGCCTATGATTACTCAATTAATTTTGTTATATATTTAATTAATCAACAGACTACCTACGTCATGATTCCATTAATCATTCTAGTTCATTCTGTCTAGCCAAGAATAATTCAGTCTTCACATCATACCTCACATATCTTCTTAGAAAGGTTATCTTTCTTCTATCTTTCTCCAAGATGATGAAATTGTGATTTCCTACTTTTGCATGAGAAGAGCATCTGGGTGATATGAGCTAATTTTGCTTTAGATAGTTCCTTTTTTTTTCTAATCTATGAAGTTGGATGAAATGTGGTTTATAGTACAATTTTTTTCATGAGTCCTTTTTATGATTGACAGGGAAATTTAGAGAAGAATTTAAAGCAGCATTTTCCTGTTGCATCTTTGGCAGCCACCACGACGAACGGTTCACCAGAGGTCATGCCAGTACAGAGAGTCGGAAGTCCTTGACCACCCAGATCAGCAATTTTGACAATGTTTCAAAACTTGCAGAGCACGTTGTATTGAACAACATAAACACAATTCCATCAAATGGTACTACACCTATTACCTGCTGTCACTGTACTTGTCCCCATATGTTCCGTTCCTGTGAAATTAAAATCTAATTGTGCACACAACAATATTTGGATATGAGCACACAGAGAGAAAAAGTGGTTTACAATTAAGGATTGACTATAAGAAAAGTAAATTAAAAGAAATGTTTTATAGAAACAGCTAAAACTTTGGTTATTTATTGATGAAACAAAATTTCATCACATTAATTTCAAAAGCTGTGTTGCAGTTGGGGAGGGGATAAAGTAATTATATTCTATATAAATATTTTCTTTGGATCCTACTTCCTTTAGACTCTTAATTAAATAAAGAACAATTACCTGAAAATATGAAAATAATTTCCCCTGTCATTGGAATTTGTTTATAAACAGCTATATTCTACTCTGAGCTAATTATCTGAAGTTGTGGCACATTTCATGACAAAGAGTTTAACCAAAATTTTGTGTATAGATTGAACTACCTGCATATCCTTTACTGTTTCAAATTATCTGCTTAGCACGCATTCTGGTGTGAGTTAGGCTGATCAAATAAGAAATTCACATTATTTTCTTTTCCAACATTTTATGTTCTTTTTCCTGTTGGGTAGGTTATTCCATGTGTTCAGGAACAGCTGGGAAGCCACTTTTTACTTACTATAGCAGGAATGTGTTTTTTCCCCTGAATTCAATAGTATTGCCTATATGTATGGCACAAGCAAAGTTACAACCAGGAAACCCAGATGAAAGCATATCCATAGATTTTATTTTACCCCTTATCTCTTATTTATTATTATTATCTTCTCTCTACCTGTCCTGTGCTCATGGCAGGGGGGTTAGACTAGATGGTCTTTAAAGGTTTTTTCCAACCCAAACTATCAATGCTTCCATGACTGACTTATACACAGGAAGCTGTAGTGCTCTGCTGGTCACAGTGGCATCTGGATAAGGAACCACAGAGCAATTTATCAAACAGTGCATTTAAATAAGTAGTAGCAGAACATTAAAACGTTTAAAAGTAAAAAAAAAAAAAAACCACATTTTCTGGAAGACCATTTTGTTAATAGGCCATCACCTGCATAGCGTCCAGAGAGTGACAATCAGAGGGTGAGTCAGTCAGTTACCTAAAACAAACAGTGAAATGATCTTGGAATCTTTATTTTTTCTACAGATATCCCAGCTGTGCTCAACCCATTGAAATCAATGGAACTGCATCTCCACATACCAGGAATGAACATGACTTCAAATATAGATGAAGCCATGAGGGTTTCTGCAGAAGACACTCTCAACACAGAGAATGCAGAGTGGGATAAATTCATCCCTAGTATAACTAAACTTACCTCGATGGAGTTACAGCAAGGATGACTTTGGCTCAATACACTACGACCACCAGAGAGCGGCACATGTTTTTGGGTGTGGTACAGACCACAGCAACTGGATAAAGGGATTCCTTCAAAATAACTGCCTATCCTATTTTTCTCAGTCTTACAGAAACCTACTTACCTCAGTATGAGCTAAAGAACATGTCTTTACAGGTCTTTTTAAAGATGGGATTGTATCATACTTTGTAAATACTGTAGATATTTATTTTTATATATTTTAGATGCTGTGGAATGTTCTAAAATGTATCATATAAAGAAATCTAAGTATTTGAAAGAAGTCTCAAACATCATTTATTTATATCTTCTTTCTATAAATGATTTCTATAAATTCTATGTTCATTATGGAGCTTTCACTTCCGATTGATTTTGGGAGAGACCACGTTACTTTTCCAAGCACAGACATGCTTCTGAAGTGTGAACCCAAAGTGATGAAAGTCACAGATGTTTTCATAAATTTACACTAAAAGCCTTTCTTTTTTTCTTGAGACTTGAGTGCCTAAAAAGTAACTATTTAAATAAAACTTACATGATGCTCAATGGTGCTATAGGCTCAAAATTCCTGCTCAGGCCAATAGGAATAACAAGTGTCAGCACCTCTGAAGGACAGGACATTTTAACTTTTTAGCTCATTTTAGTCCATAATATCTCCAAGTGTTGTTCCAGAAGATCTCTGAAGATCTTCAGAAAACATTGGTTATCTTTCTTGTTTTCTTGATTTCTCGCTCAACTGCCATTTGATAATAAAATTAATAAGATATAATCAATTAACAAATCTATATGCCAAGAAAATGTTGATTTTTCAACAACTGAAATAATTATTTATCTCTGGAAATTATAGAGGTGGTATCTCATTGGACTGATAGATAAAGCACTCACTCATACATTTTCCCATTATGGGATAATCTCCCTGGCCTGGGGCTTCCTATTGTAATTTTTCTTTCAAAGGATGAAGATGGTGCACCACTGGAGACTTAGTTACTAGATGAATATGGCCTATTGGTTAGAAAAAGGCTAATCTGTCAGAATTACCCTGTGGCACTATTCTTGCATTTCAGTTCAGATTTTTCAAAAGAAAGGGTAAGATGGGAGGGAGGAATTGTTTTTCTCTGAAAAACACTTGACATACAAAAAAGTCTCACGTATTCAAATGTTTCTAAAAAGGCAATTATTCACAGACTAAGTGTTATTTGAATAACTTATGTAAATATTTTTTCTAGGTTTTGCTTTGATCTAATGTCATGCAATGTACTGTCTATCATGGCAGCTATAGTTTTATGAAGTTTTTAATCACTTTATGCTTTAGCCTCCCCCAGCAGCTGTTTTACTTGACATTGTTGAAATTTCTCCCTGTTTACACTGGTGTTGAGATTAAAAAAAAATTGCATTTGTTTAAATATTAAAGTTTTCTATTAAAAGAGAAAGAAGAAAATAATCTTTTCCAATTAAAAAGAAAATAATAAAGAGAAATATCTAAATGGAAAGAATGTTTAAATATCAAATAAAATAATAGGATTTTCTATATTCCTATGTGTAATCTTAATGTTTGAGTATAGCTATCATGTCAATGTTATTTCAAGAAATTATTTTACTTTGTCTCTTCTAAGAAAAGAAAACCCAAATAATTGTGGAAAGCACAGCAGGATTTGATTTCATAGCTATTACAGTTCCTTTATCATTAGAAGGCTATTTTTGCTCTCCAACCACATATAATATAAAATTCTTAAAATGGGGAACAAGATATATTTTTTCTATATAATTCGAAATGATTGAACAAACAGATGCTGAATTAAAACATTACAGAAATAGGAAAATGGAATTTGAAAAGTCCTCTAATTTTTTCTTTTGTTTTCATATAAGTAAGTAAAAATTAAAAAAATAATTAAACTGGTATAGTAGCCTAGAAGCAAAACAATTATCAGTAATCATTTATTTGAGACATAAAATGTCAATTATGCCCAAATTTTGGAAGGCTACACTTTCATTTCAGAAAATGTATTTTTGCTTTTCCTTGAAGAGAGAGAAAGAATGTAGAAAGTACCTGGTTATGTAAGAAACTTGCACAGCATAGAAGGGCAGTATGTATACTTTTCAAACATACAAGGTCACAGGTCACACACAAAAGACCAGCAAACTTCTTATGCCTTGTCAGGTGTGAGATTCACAGGGAGGGAAAGGGTCCAATATTTCTCACCTGGGCCAGGAAACAAAGAACTAAAATGACAATGTTAATGGTACTCATGGAAAAGTCCTAACTAGCATCTTTCTAAAGGGGGGTGAACACCACCTGCCAACACAACTTCTCTTCTTTATGCTGCTACCTTAATGCCAGTGGGATGAATTGTGTCAGTTAAGTTGGTTCTGAGGCAAGAACATCACTAAAGGTCATTGGCAGTTTTGGGCTCCTGAAAGTCCTCTGTGCTATCTTAGAAATGGAGGTTCTGGCCTTAATTTTCTTTTTCGTAACAGAAAATGTCTCTTTTGTTCTCTTTTTTTCTCTTTTCTTGTTTTCACTTAGATCTCCAAAATTAAAATATTCCAACATTTTTATAAATTTCTTTTAGCCATGACTTTAACTTAACAGTACTTTTTATGTGGAGAAAATAAATAAAAGATGAGACATTAACAAATGATTCTGGGTGTTTCTCTGGACAGTTTTTGTTGAGTGAATAGCATACCTTTCAGACAAATGATACAATCAGAGCTTATCTAAGATTTGAAATTCTAAGGATAGCTAGAGAGTGTTAACTGAGGACTGTGAACTTCTTGCCACAGACTACGGTTATCTAGTTAAAATTTGGTTAAATATGGTTATCAAGATAAAGATTTGGTTATTTTAATGAAAAGTTTTTTCATTCAAAAATTTCTGGATTTTATGAAATAAATATTTTTTATGCAAATATTCATGGTTTTATTTCTTTAGTTTTAGAAAATTTGAGAACTACCTAGATTTTTTTCTTCTTTAGCTCTGATATGTTTTCAGGTACCATTTCATTGCAAAGACTCCACAGGCATTTAAAAATCTGTTGACTTCTTGTGTATAGTAGTGGTAGGGGTTTTTGCCAGTTTTAGGGCCTTTTACTCCAGAAAGACCCAAATATTTGTATACATTCAAAATATTAACCAGATGTATTTCCTTTTTAATTAAAATAATCACAGGGAGAAAGAAACCAAACAGTGAGCAGTAGTTATTAATGGAGAAAGAAATGGTAAGATTTTAAGAGCAATATGCAATGTAATGCCCTTTGCATGTGAAACAAATTAAAGCATCTTAAAGGAACTTCTGGGCTACTTATCCATCAGAAAAAAAAAAAAAATGGTGATGAATGCACATTTCTTATCCAGTGTACAAATACTGAAAATTATCTGAAATCTGAGCCTTAATTGGGTTTTATTGCCTCTAGCTGCTTTGATATTCTAATATTTCCACTGGCTGCTCAGAAGCATAGAAATGGAGTTCTCGTGCCATTGTTTCTGTTTGGCCACAGCAGCACTGAACACGGAGTTTAAAACACAACATATTTGTTTCTGCAGATATAAATTGTTGTGCCACTGCCATTTTGGTACTTGTCTCTCAACCTATTTCATAGCCTTGGAGGTCTGATATCTTGACCTGTTTCTCCTTTCCTGTTGTCACTGTAGTGATAAGCTTGTGTCCTGCAGTCACAATGAGTGCAAGATAATATCTCCTCCTCTCCCACCTCCAAAAAGGTGGTTTTTTTTTCCTTTTCTTCTGGATTGCATAGATGGTACCATCTCGTTCTCTGATATTATCAAAATTGTTGATACCAAAAATTCATGTTAATATAAAAATCCATGTTATTAACCTTGCGAGTGCTTTATAGAAGGGAAAGTACACTAAATATTAGCTTAACTCAGCCCTCACTGTACGATAACATATGGTTAAAGGCCAAGATCAAGTTAGCTCTCAAACCTAAAATTTGTCTCGCAGCTAAAACTATATTCATCTCTCAGACTGTTTCTTCTACTTTTACAGGTTTTTCTGTGGCTGTTGGATATATTGGGTAAAGTCATATATTATTTATTGAAAAGGATTTAAAAACAAACAAGGATGTAGCAATTGTGTCATTAGGAATTTAAATAAATAATGCAATAAAATAAATGAGCTAAAAATCGTGTTAAAAATAACATTATATGCAAGATGGAATTTTCCTGAGCTAAACAAAAGATAAGCAAAATCTGGACTTGGGTCAAGTTTTACTTTGTCAATAGGGACAGGATTTCAACCATTGTATCTCTTTGATAGATAATCTGAAAGTATATCTTTTTAAGCATTCAAGGACCAAATCCAGTTAAAAGTGTTCCGTAGTGAATACAAGATTCATGAGTAGCATGGAGGGATCAATAGGGCTCTGTTGTTCCCCCTCCTTTCAGCGTTAAAGCAAAGAGCACATGCTGAAGCCAGCAGGTGGATGATTGCATGCGTTATGGTTGATTTATTTTTGAGTACCCAGTCAGCTACTGACTTTTGTATGGCAAACGGTTTTTTGATGTATTTTAGTGAAACTCTTGAAGTCAGACTCGTAATCCAGTCTGGATCTAGATTATAGACTGGTCAGTTGTTCCTCTGGTCTAAGTCCAACATGTTCCACAGGTCTTCTCTCTCATTTAAAGATGAGGGTCGTATTACAGAGCTGAGATGAAAACAAACAAAGTCACTTCTAAAACGTGTTGAAAAGTGCTTGCGGAAGATGATCGGACACAGCAACAGGTATTTTTTAAAGAGCTTACAGGCAGCAGCCAAAAACTTGCTCTGTTAGTTTCCCTGGAAATCAAGTAAGAGCTGAACGCTGATGGGGTGCAGATCCTGTGCAAAACACCAAGGCACCACCTCCCCGGGTCGCAGCCCGGCGCGGCGGGGCAGGCGGCGTGTGAGGCGCGGAGCGTGAGGCGCGGAGCGGCAGGCGGCGTGTGAGGCGCGGCGGGCGGGGGCGGGCGGGGCGCTGTGCCCGGCGCGGCGCTGACGGAGCGGTGGCGGTGCCGCTGCCGCACCTGCCGCCGGCGCCACCCGCGGAGCTGCACGGCCCGGCCGGTCATGGCCGCGCTCCTCGGCCCCGGTAAGTGCGGGGGGCAGGAGGGCACCCCAGCCCCGCCGGGACCCCCGCGTCGCCCCGCGCCTCCCCACAGCTCCTCTCCGCGGGTGCCCCTTTCGGCTCCATCGTCTCTCCTGCTCTCAGAGACCTGTGCGGGTTCGCGCCGGCTCGGGCAGGGTCCGGCAGCCCGGCCCCTGCAGCAGCGGTACGGTGAGGCACGGCAGGGCGCTGGGAGACCCGCAGGTGGGACTGTCTGAGTAAACAGCCACTTGTTTGCCGACTGGAGAGCGCTGGGTGCTGGCAGGGCTGCACAGAGGGCTGCTGGCACTTCCTTTGGGTTGGAGTGGAGAAACAGGGAAAATCAGCAAAGCTGGGACAGAAGGATTTGGTAGAAGAGAATACAATGAGACAAGTATATTTTTATTTCTGGTGTTTTGTTTTGGTTTATTTATTTATTTCTGTTGTTCCCTCTGTTCTCAAAACCCCATTATTGTAAACTTGTATTCCACTGTCAGAAATATTTTGTAGGTAGTTCTTCCCGAGAGTAAAATTGGCCTTTATTACTTTTCAACTATATTCAAAGTTTGCCACTCGCCTTTGGAGCTAGCTATCTTGCTGGTCTTGCCATTGGATAGAAACGACAGCTTTGTTTGATATCATTCATTTTACCTGCCAGAGAATAATTCTGCAGTCTTATGATTACAGAATTGGGAAATGTAATTCCTCCATTCCTCAGTTCCCAATCTGCAAAATACAGGTGCTAAAATGTTCTTTTTTTCTCCCCTTCTCACTTTAGACACGAAAGTCTATAGAACATGGAATTTTACACCTGCCCAGTGAATCAATAGACACTTGCATAAAAGTACAGACATCTGTAGAAATTTAAATGTGTTTTCTTGTCAAAATGGGTCCCTCTAAAAGTTTTAGCTACTAACTAAGATGCCCTGAACTCTTTTAAGTAGAAAACAATCAGTATTCCAAACATTACAGTAAATAACCAAAGTGAATGACTAAAGTAATAACTGTAAATTTAAGCAATTGTATAAGGTATCCTGCACTGGATTCTAAAATCATAAAGGACAGTGTTTCAGGTACACTTCTGGCAGTGTACTCCTCTGTACTAAGGAAACACGTGACACATTCATAATATGTCATTAGACCTAGAGAAGCCCTTTCTTAGACTGAATTGCCTTCAATCATAGATTATGCTACTGAGCTCTTTATTTTGCAAAAGCATATTCTTGTTTTTATCGGCACAGTTTCCAGGTGGGTTTCAAATAAGCAACAGTCTGAAATAATCCTTAAAAAGGAGCAGATGCTGCGAGTTGGCTGCTCCATCAGTCCTACTTTGACTATCCATTTTCAGCCACTGCTCCTCGAAAGCTGTTGGAACAGGAGGGAGACAGCACAGAGTCTTTGTGCTGTGAATCCTGATCAGATGTGTAAATCTTGTGTTATGTCAGTACCTCCAAAATAGGCAAATGGTCATCCAGCAAAGTACCTTTGCTTAATAAGTTCCTGGGTTTGTAATTTTGTAGTGTCTTATATATAGAGAGAGAGAGAGTCATTTTCACCTGTTAGATATTTGACAACTTTTTTTCTTCTGTTATCTGAATAAATAATGAGTAATTTCACAATTAGACCTTTCGGAGACAGTCACAGAACTGAAATGTTGTCTTAATGAGCCAAAATTGTTCCTATGGATGGGCCAGCTGCCCATTCCTCAATGTCAAGAGGCAGGAGCTGTTTCTGTCAATCGGTTTTCAAGGCTGACATACAGACACAGCCTAAAAGAGTGTTTCAGCCTGGAAGTCACTGAAATCCTCACCAGTCTTGCATAGATCTGAGAACTGGCAGGAATATGCACAACTGAGGAAGGATTAGCACCAGCTATAATAAGCACACATGGCATCTTCTTTGGCTCATAGGCACACTAGATGCTGTTGCACCTGCCAATTATAAAGTATTAAATGTTGCTCTATATTTATCGACATGCATCCAGAAAGTGTTCCCTACAGCAGCACTATTATATCACTGGTAAACATCATTTCCAGAAGGGATGTCATCACCTCTAAACAGTAGTGGCTCTTTTAAGATTATTTAGATGAATATTTGATACCTAATTTCTTACTCTAAAATGTATCATTGGAAAAATTTCGTTTCTACCGGTAGGGTCTGGACAAGTCCTGAAGGAATATTTCATGCCTCTTGCACATGATGTTTAAGGAATTAAACAATGCTGCAAACTACTCAAATTCCATATGAATTCACCTAAACATGAGGGGGGGCGGAAAGGCCACTTCGTCTGGGAGATGCTGTGTCCTTCAACAACTAAGGAAAACACCCACATCAGGTGTTCAGCAGCTAGTTTGATAAAGCCTGAAATCAGTGTCTGAAACTTAATTTTGTGGAAATTAAAGACACATGGTTACAAATGAGAAGCTGGGTTACCATGGGAATGTTGATGAAACCCCAGGTGATTTTCCTTTTCTTAGCAAGGCAATTTAATTTTCTACTGATAGTCACAGGTGGTGCTGCTTTAAAATTTTTTTACCTTGAAACCTCCATATCAGTCTTCAGTTTCATAACTTTGTTATGCAATTAACAGGCTCAGTGCCCTCGGGGAAGCAGATAAAGACATAAATTGATGGGGAGGTGCTTTCAAGAAATAATGAATCTGTGAAGTAAAAACAAAGAGAGTGAAGAGTACTCTATAATAAAATTGCATTTGTAATCTAGCAGTTGTGTACCTGTCAAATCTCTTTCAGGTAGTTTATTCATAGGAATTCCAGTATAGTCTAGCTTGGTGAGATTTAATGCAAATAAAATAATGCTTCCTCTGAATTTTATACTGTCTGTCTTTCTGTAATTTATTATGGATCTCAGAACTGCAGTAATTTCTATATGTCTATGCACTAATGTCATATATAGCTATGGTTGATGTTATAATACTGGGGTAAAACAGTGCAAAATATGCCACACTGCAACTTTGAAATTTTAAATTTATTTTTCCAGTTGCAAAACTGAGAGATTTGTTCTGTTAAAAAGTAACTTGACAGAAAAGTTGAATCTATAGATAAACTACAGTAAATTATATTTTTATAATCTATAAAAAGGAAAAAGGTGTAAAGGAAAAAGGTCCGTACAATATCTGCTGTATTAACTATATAACACTTCATTCTGTTTTTATAGTTTTGTTCATGTATTTCACATGTATATCTACTGTCCAGACTACTGACTGTCTGCATTTGAAGGAGCAATGTATAAATGCTGCAAATGGATGTGAGAGTGTTTGGAATGTTGTTGAAGACGCCTGCAATATTTCAGGTAATTCATTATGCTGTATGCATCTTTATTTTGAGTTGTTGTATGGTTGCATATTCATAGTTTATCAGAGCATTGCTGTGGTAACTGAGTGAATCAGTGAGATTTCAAAGAGAAAATTATGACACACAACTTTTGAAATCTTTGAAAATGGCCACTGCTATTTTTAGTAACAGTCATATTGTCTCTTCAGTAAAGCAATAAATGAAATTTTTGCACTATGAACAAAGTCAGAGTCTGAACCAAGTCAAGAAGTCTGAATTCAGCAGAAATTATGCTCTTATGGGGTCCAGATAAACAAAGTCAGTATGCAGCTGGAAAAAAGTTCCAACTTTGTTTTACATAATTTGGAAGAGTTGATCTGATCCCTTCCTGGAGGTGTTCAAGGCCAGGGTGGATGGGGCTTTGAGTAACCTGGTCTAGTGGCAGGTGTCCCTGCCCTTGGCATCTAGGTTGGAACAAGATAATCTTTAAGGTCCCTTCCAACCTAAACTGTTCTGTGATTCTGTAATCTCACACAATACCCAGAACAATGCAGTAGTTAGAATAATTCTTAAATATTGCACTGGAATGAGAAACAAATCAAATAAAGAAAGCTTTAAAGGAAGTTGTGTTTTAGGGAGGCACACTGTAATTCTTCAATGAATAGTACCTACATGCCACAGTAATTCACTTGCAGGAACTGATAGTATGATAAAGTGCAGGTTACAACTCGGCTAAGCCTTCTTGAATTGTTGAACAGATTCTCATATAAATGAGGGCAGAAATTCAGTCTCTTTTTATTACACTTCCAATATCTGATGCTTTATTTCCAAATTAATTATGTTTTAAGTAGGAAAAGACCAGGTATTATAAATTTGACCTGAAACTCATCCTAATCTCTGTGGTTGTTCAGATGAAAATGTTCATTTCTCCAACGACCTATAATCTTCTTGAACAATTCTTGGCTATCATTTACCACCTCTCTCTTCCTTTTAATCCGTCTAAGACCTTGCTGTTAAATGTTGAGTGTTCATCTTCCAGGTGCTGTGAATATGGAAGGAAGAAGAGTTGCACTGTAGTCTGATAGCCAGTAATGACACCTTTATTGACTGATAAATGTCAAGGGCCTTGGTCTGCTGCTGCATGAGCACTAGCAAATGATAAGGGCCAGGGACTCTTTTCTGACTGAATTCACCTGTCATGGGCAGCATGTAGAGATATCTGTATCTGCATGGAAACCTCCCTTCTGCTTATACTGACATTATTTGAACAAAACCAGCTATGTCCTGATGGCATAGTCTGTTCTGAGCCTCAGCTGCATCAGAGTTGACAATGCGAATGCCCCTCTGTCTGTCTTGATGTCAGGACCCGATCCCACGTTTGATTTGTGAGGGAAGACAGGCAGCAGAAGTTGCTTGGCTTCATGGTCAATAAGCAATTGCTGAAACATTCACATGCGGTGTAATCTAACTGAATGAATACTTCTGTCTTTCTGATTTGTTGCATAGATTTGACGTCCCAAATGTCCAAAGTCACAAGGCAATATTTAAAATAATTAAACCAGAAAATTCTCTGAGAGGTCCTTCTTAGTGTGCCTTTTTCCAGATACTTATCTGCTTTGCATGGAATGTCTGAATACTTTTAAGAATAGATGAAATAAATGAAAAATACATGATAACATAACAGTTACAAGTCCCCAAGGAAAATTAGTTTCAGCCCATGTTCTATTGTGCTTTTAAATATTTTATGTGAAATGAAACAGTTTCAAAAGATACGGCTGCTTTCTGGGGGAAAAAAAAAAGTATTGGAATATGCGGTACTTTCAGGCTCAAGTGACCTAAAGATGAGCTCTCTAGAACCAGACCTCTTCCCCAAATCACAAGTTGAATTTGCTTCTCTCACATCATTGACAAAGTCATTAGCACCAAGACTACTTGACATAAAGATCAGGATTTGTGCTGTAACCTATTAATGATTTACGCTACAACCAGATGAAGTGGACCAGCATGATTACTTCTGTGATCTCTCCTTTGGATGTTCTGTGTTGTCCCATAATATAACGTTTATCTTACTTTTCATCCTACATAATTATTCATTGATATTAAAGGTATTTGTAACTCAGCCAGAGAAACCGTACAGAAATAAATTCTTCTTGTGATTGCTTGGTTGGTTTTGCATCTGTATGCTTCCTTAGGATAATAGCTTTTGGCAAGGGCTCTCCAGCATTGCAGAGCACTCAGCTATTGTGTTGGGTCTAGGACAAATTATACTAAATGTGCTTATTAGTTACCATGATCCCAGAGCATGTAAATCCAGTCAGACAGCCAATGGTACCTCTTAGAGAGCTCACAGAGAGATAGAAAATCTACCAGCAGCATTATTAGTAAGAGTAACATTATACTGTCCGTCAGGTGCAAGTCTAAAAACTTCATGGATGAACTGTAGGAATGGAAAAGGCCCTTCAGTTCTGAGCACAGATGTATTTACTTGCAGGTAATAGCCAACGGGGCAGATATTTGTTTTGTTGGTTTCTTTATGCAAAACCTAACTACAAATGATAATTACACTCCTACTCTGTGGTGTGAGTTCAATAATTAGACTGTGGTCTCACCAGTGCTAGAGGGGAAAACCAAGGACTTTCCTCTGCAGTTTTCAAATGCAATTCCCACTGAGATGACTGAAGAGCTGACCATGCAAGAACAGAGATTATTACTCTGGTAGTGTCAGTTTCTACTCTGTCATGCTTCTATATGTGGTCCCGTATACATGAATTATATACCTATAAATAAATCTAATTATGGATAATGGCTGCCAAACATTAGGTTAAGTGGGCTTTTTTTTTTTGGAAATGCCTTGGAAGCATATGTGTAGATAAAATATATTACCTAGAACTAATCACTGGTAAAGCAGCAATAACTGAAAACCAGCAATAAAATATTTTCTGCTGTTCATCACAGCTGAATCAATAGAGTGTACAAACAGACCAATACTGATAATAGGTTATTTCTACACAGTTTTCAAGAAGTCAGGCAAGGGAACCCCATAAATCTGATGTGCTTCCTGATTCTGTCTATGCCATCTGTATGTTCATAGCCCTAACAACCTTCCTCTCACCCCTGGTTGTCAGCTGCTGTGACTCAGCTCACAGCACCTGGGGCCATTCTGGACACAGCCCTGTGCCTGACTTCTTACCGTGACATGTTAGTGTCATGAACACAGGTGAGCTAAGTGAAGCTGGGGTGCTGTATAAGATATGATGGGTTTTGTGGGTTTTATTCTTCTGCCTCTGTTCATGTCCACCCTTGAAGTGTCCTCAGGATATTAAAGAAGACAGTCATAAATTTTGTGAATAAGCTAATTTTTACCCAAGCCCCTCCTGATCTTTGTTTCTCTTTTTCTACCCATGAAATTTGTTCTCCTGAAATTCTTCTATTATCCCTTACTCACTTGATAAAACATAGAGGAGAATATCTACCCACCTTCTTGAGCCTCCATAGTTCCCATGTCACCATATTATTTCCACCCTAGTTTCTTGGTCAGGGAGTATTCTATGTCCATGACCTTCAGTAGATCTCATGCTGTGATGGTTTGGACCTGGCTCCCTGCCAAATGCCCGAACCCACAGTAGCAGCCCCCTCTTCCCCCTCCCTTCTCCCCTTAGGGCAAAGGAAAAAAAAAGAAATATGCAAATTGAACTCGAAATCAAGCTAGTTATATAAAAAAATATACATTTTATGTATATTACAGTTATATACAGTTAAGATGCTATGTACACAGCAAAAGGGAATCCAAACAACCCCGAAGGGATAGGGAAAGGGGGAAAAAAGGGACAAAAGGGGACAAAAAGGGACACCAAACAGATATACACAGTCAAACTCAAGAACTAAATAACTAACAAAACAGATCTCACCACATCCCTTAGAAAAGCAGGATTGGCAGACACGGCCAGCACTCTCCAAAACGTCCACGTGGCAGATCAGTGGATGCTGCAGGCCTCAGCCTTAGATAAGCGAGACCACTGTTCCCAAACCTCACCAGAAGAGAAGAGAGCGAAGGCCTCTCCTCCCTTCTTATTTATACCCCGATTTACGTAAAAATTGTATGGAATACTGGGAACACTGCTTCTTCCTTGGTTACAAACTGGTCACCAAGGAAGGCCTAGATTAAAACTACCACATGTACTCCTGAAAATGCGGGAGGCAAGTTAAAGATGTGGCTGGAGAGATACAGGCAAGCACAGGCACCATCACTTCCTCCTTTGCTTATACAAGGTGTGAAATGGGAACAGGGGCTGGGAACTGCAGCTTTTGCTGGCCTGTGACATTCCCCTGTAGCAGTGCACATTTTGATACACCCCCAAACCCTCCTTAGTAACAGCAACTGGAGAAAGGGCAGTGCAGACACTGTTTGAAAAAGGGGTGGCAGGATGTGGCCGTGCCTTCTGGAATAGCTGATTCTCGTTCCTTCAGGCACAGGCAAAATGCAGCGTCCTCTTGCAGAACTTCGCCTAGGCTGCTTTCCCCTGCTATTTGTGACAACAACATATAAATGATGTTAAAATGCTAATCACATTAGAGCTTGCGCATGGTGGTGGTGACACATGGCTTCTCACTTTGCAGTTTTACTGGAGTGCACCTGCTCCAGGCTAGTGGGGAAGCAGCAAGGCAGGAAGCCAGACAGCAATGTTCACAGGGCAGAGAAAATAGCCAATGTGCTTGGTAGATTAAAACTGATCCTTGTGCTGCCCTGTGATCTGCTTGGATCTCATGAGCCACATACTCCTTATCTGACATACTGAGAGACACTATCTATGAGGTGAAGAGAGCAAATGTGCTGCTTAGGGGACCTGCCTACTTGTTTTGACAAGGCAGATCATGGCTTTAACAAAATAAAACTTTCTTAAATGGTATTAAACTGCTTCTTTTGTAACTTTCTTAAGTAACATGTAACTTTCTTAATGAATGGTAAATAATAAAATACTTTGATAAACTTTTAGCTCATAATGTGGAGGGTTGATTGATTTACCTTTGTATACAAGCTAGTATATGCTCTTTACTTTTATTACACATAAAAGGAAAATATGACCTGACAGCCTGTGTGAGTGTCTTTGTCACTGAGTCCAAGTGCACACACAAACAATGGGCTTAAAACTGGACTGGCAACCTAGGGCTTCTGCATAGGTTAACTTCTCCCTTATTTGTATTATAAAAAAACCCAAACATCAGAATATTCTTGGACTAATTTAAATTTATTATCAATCTCAGGCAGTGAAGTGGTTCTGTAGAGTAGCTGTCCAAGGTTATATCCAAATGGCATTTGTAGCCTTGTGCAATCCGGACATGAGTGAGAGAATCTGAGTTAGAGCTGACATCTCCTCATCCTGGGGTTAGCATCACCATTATCACAGGTCTGCCATCTGTGTCCTCTCCCTCACACTCTGTTATGTGGCAGTGCCTTAGCCTGAGCTGTGAATTCCTGTCACTATACCAGGCACCTCATTTCTACACAGGACCAAGATGAGTCTCTCAGGGCCTCAGTTCAGGATGTGCCCCTCCACTCCTTTGCACCTTTTCAGTTTGATCTCTGTGCCTCATCTACTTGGAATAAAAGGCATGAGTTAAAGGTTTTATGTACTTTGTAAATGAGAACAGATATTCTGGCAATGGGTCAGATCAAATAAAAGAAGGTAATATTGTACTCGCAACTTTATTATATTACTCTGAATATTATTTAAACTTTGTAAATTATGACAGGTTTTCAAACAAAATTAAGTGCAAGTCATCTCCTGTTGGCAAAGCATATGATTTTTGTGCTTCAATTGAATTGTTTTATGTAAACATATCCCTTAAGCGCTCATAAACATTAACTGCATTATAATTTTAATGGTGAGTTCTAGGTAATAAGTGCAAGGCAGAAGACACTGTTGGATGTAATAGAATCATCCAGGTCCTGGCTGATGAATACCCAGAATTTAAAAACTGTGTCTGCACTACTGACAATATCTGTAGCATCACGACTTTGCTTGGGAAACAGTGCAGCATTAATAAAGGTAACTAAACATAAAGTTTTAATTACAAAGACCAAACCGAGAAATTTTGTAACCCCATTTTAACTGGATTCAGGTTTCTTTACATATTTCTCAAATCTGAGAATTCCCCTGCCAAATTAGTTTTGTCTTTTATATGATATTCACACTCCATATGAAAGAAATGCCATATCTGCTTTAAAATAAACAAAACCAATAAAATGCATGTGATAAATTCAAATAGTTTCTAAGGGTCTTGCTCAATCCACTGGAAAGCAAGAGTGAAAACATAATGTGTGTTGAGGGCTACACTAGATTTAGGTTATGTATAGGGAGACACATCCAGCCACCTTATGAATGGGAGTGTGACAGTGGTGCAGTTGTGTCACACTATGTTGCAGGAGCACCTTCATTACATCTGGGAGAGGTTACTGGATGTAGGAAACATAGTTACCACCTTCATAAAGCTGTACATAGTATGTAAAATGCATATTTTAAAATTTCCGTTGTAATCAATGGGCGCAGCTCCTCTCAATTTATTTTTTATTATTCTGAGAACTCTTATGCCTTCAGAAAGCCTATATCTGTAATTGAGAATTACTCGGTACACGAAGAAATTGCAGTTTGTGATCCGATGTCTCCTGGCATAATGATTAGCAAAGCTGACACGAGAGCTAAAATCAGCCAGTGAATGAGAGTCTGGAAAGTGAGCTCCAAAGTTGACTCCTGGCACTGATCATTCACTCCCTGCTGGCATCAAACAGCATACATCAAATAGTAGTAGAATATATGGCTTTATTGTGGAGGAAATAACATCTTGATCTGTTACTCCTTTCCCCAGACAAGAAGGATGGGTATCTAAAACCTGACATTGATCTCATTGGAGCAGTTGCTTTTGCTTCTAGCAAAATGAAGTAATTTTATATTTCTTTGCTGATTGAAATGACATTTCTCACTAGCATAGAAAAAAGTTCATATGGAGTTACACTAGTGTTGAGTTTACCTACAAATGATAGCATATAGTGGTGGTAGGTACTTTCATGAGTAATTCTCCCTGTCTAACTTAAGTTACTATTTCAGGTAATGAATGAACCATCTGCTGGCATTGTGATTTTCTCTTTACAAATTATGCACCGGATTAAGATGATAATCCTTGATATGTCCAATCTGTAGGTGGTTAAAATTATGTGAAATGTATCCCCTTTATATGCAGTAATTTTAGTGACGATTTCTTTTACTACTGTTTTGCAGCTGAATTGTTAAAGGGGATTGTACTATACAACTAACAGCACACAGTAAGCATGAGTAAGCTTCATTAGTCTGCAAGACTCTGAAATTATTATATGTTTAAATACAGCTCAGAATGAAACTAGGGCAATTTCATTCATTGTATTGCATTAAGACAATTATCCTTTTCTTTTGTTTTGTGCTGACCTGTGATGATGCTCCATCTTCCATTTGATTTGTATCTATCTCTGTGTGTACCTATTTGAACAGAATATTTGGAATCTTTCTCAGGATCAGACACTGAACTGAGTTTTAGGCAGCACAGAAACCCAAAAGACAAAAGGCACTCAGAAGAATTGGAGAACGATTGCCATATTGCAAAACAGCGCTGTCGAGAGGACCCTTCCTGCTTTGCCCTGTACAGGAGCTTCCAGAGGGCGTGCCAGGCAGATGCAGTCAAGTGCAGGTTTCCAATGATCAACCAGGAGTGTTTGTCAGCATGGAAAGAACTGATGAAAACAGTGCTGGGACAGTGCAAGTGCTCAGAGCCACTTCAGATGAGATGCATTAAAATATGGAAGGGAATATTTAACAACCGTTGTTTACAGTACTCTCAAGAGAGCCAAGCTTCAGCACCCAGTGGGCATGATGACGACACTGATGATGATGACTATAATGCTGATGTCGATGATGAGAAAAATCTGGTCACTGACACAGGTTAGTGTTATTCCAGCAGTCTGAATGCTTTCATACATAACTGTAGTGTCCACAGTCTGTGAAAAAGGTTTTCTTAATCATTTGTAGTTTAACATTGAAAGTGAGTTCATTTTGAAAGGCCTATTTATAAATGAACTCACAATATGATAGAAAAATGATAGCCTGGGTGCAAATACTACTGTCCTTCAATATGCTAATTTGATACAACCAGTCTATTTGATACAATCAGTCCATTTTAGTTTTCTCTATGACTAGAAACACTATAAGACCATTAACAGTAATTTTCTAATAGCAAAAACTGTCTGCCTGCCTTGACTTTAGGTCATGACAAGCAGCTGGTTCAATTTGAAAACTAGTCCACTGATGAACACGTTAAGGCCTCTGGTTTTTATTTATTCACAAGAAATCTGACTTTATAATGCACTGAGAAGCTCTGAAAAGCTCTTCTTGAGTTCACAGCTGCTATAATTGTATAAAGAATGTTATCAGCAGCCTTTGATAAGCTGTGCTTTGATCCCAAAACTTATGAATAAATGTAATAGAGGGTTTAGAATTTGTTAACGGGTCCTACTCGGTGAAACTAATTTGTTTTATTCTTGTTCATTTTTACTACTGGCACTATGCAAGCAAGACAGCTAATACTTTAAAGTTAAAAAGCTAAGCTGAGACATGATTTATCATTTATGACTGTGTCTGTATCTTTTTCTTCTAGACAATCTTAGTATGGAAACAAAATTACAATGGGGTTTATCTGCTCTCTCGAAACAAGGTAAGTCTGAATTTACTTATCAATCATAATAAATCATTTTAGTTCTGTTTTCAGATAGTGTACAATGTACCTTGAGATTAAAACTAATACTTTTCATTCAAATGAATGAGCAGGGAGTCAACAGATCCAACATAGGTAGATAAGAACTCAAAAATGCCAGGTAATAATTGTGATCCTCAAATTTACAGAGGCAAATCTCATCCCATGAACATTTTAAGGGGCAGAATTTTTTTGATATTTTTGGAAGGTTTACAGCCCAATCTAGAAATACCTAAACTAATTTTGAAAGCACAGAAATGCTGTGTATATTCACTACTTCATTACTTATTACATAGCCTAGCATAACAATGGAGATTTCAGCAGTTTCAGGAGGGTTGCTTATGAGGGCCAAGCAGTGGAAGAGGGAAGTACGAAGATTACACAACAGGTTTAAAAGAAAGCATTGCTGGAAGAGCTGGATCAGAATTTTTGGGAGTCAGACTTGTTTTTACTGGGAATGTTGCAGACAGGATGACTGCCAGTCATCACTTGAGAAAAATTTTCTTCTGATTTCATTTTTAAACTGTTATTCTTTTTAGTGTACACAACAAATAGAACCTGTTTGGATGTGAACAGGGAGTGCGTTGAAGATGAAGTATGTAACAAACAGTTGTCCCTGTACCTTAAAGTTTGCTCAGTAAATAAGAAGTGCAACATGGAAGAATGTCAAGCAGCCATAAGGTTCTTCTATCAAAACATGCCTTTCGAAGTTGCTCAAATGATGATATTTTGTGATTGTGTCCAGCATGATGAATCCTGCCACAGAGCCAAAGAACTTCTCCATGGCAAGTCCTGTGCAGTTAATGCAGTTCCAGCCCCATCGTGCCTGAACATAATCCATATGTGTGAAGAGAATGAATCGTGCAGGTTAGTAGTAGAAGTATTTTGCACAGTAAGGTGCTTTAGAATAATAATTTGACCAAATTGTTTTTGTATATATAAATGCTATATATGTCATCTCTAACAAAATTATTTTCTGCACTGAATCTGCTGTGTTTGGCATCTTCATAGATGTTTGCATCAACTGTGGTAATTCCAGAAGTAATTTCACAAGTTAACTGAAAAGATTAATTTTCAGAAAGGTTTGCAATCTGACGTGGGCTTTTCTTCTGCCTCTGTGTCATGACACGTAACACCATTTCTGCTGGACAAACAATACTGTTGCGTATTTTCATTATCACTTTCTTCAGATAACACCTGCCCATCTGCACCTTTGCTCTCCAGCAGTTTGCCCAAGTGGTGCAGCAGACCAGACAAAGATTGTTTGGTTAATTACCTTTCCAAGCGCAGAGTCTGACCCTTTGTACCCAACAGCCATACAACCAACTTGGCCTATTCAGAAAACTTTTGTCTTACTCCCTTGCTCTCAAGCATACTGATTCTTGCAAAAAGCTGGCCTGAAACATGCACAGAACATCAAACTTAGGAAGAATAATGCCCTTTCAAGATTTATGTTTAAAAAACATGCAACAGGATTAGCCCACATTTGTAGTTCTACTTAATTGCCACCATTTCTGGATGGTCAGTTGGCCCACTTTGATTTTCAGATTTGTTACCAGTTGTCTTGTGAATTAGACCTGAATTTTAGCTCAAAGCTGTGCTCAAATTAACCATCAGTCAACATACCCAGAGGCGAAAAGATGATTTTGGTTTTGTGCAGATTATTTAGGTTGACGTCAGTGGGAATTGCCTCTTTTTATGTCAAAAGAATTGGGCTACAAATGTATGTCTGTACCTGTGTAAACATGTAATACCATAATTGAGAATTTCCGAAGTCCCCATTATTTTGGGAACAATAATGTTTCCTGGCACTGACAATAAGTGCATATAATTAGCAAAATTAGTCTATGAATTATGGCTAGGCACATCTATAAATCAGGAGATGAATAAAAATAATTCCTTAGAAAGAGGTGGCATCTGCTTTGAAAACTTAGCTTGTGTAATGAAAATATTTACAGAGGTTTCCTAGTCAGTATTGTAACAGTTCATGCTTTTCCATGTGACTTGCTTATAGCCACTACACAATATCAACAGCAAATTAATAACCTAATTTTATGATTAGGGAAAAATATTTTAATATCTTAATGTACAATATACAAGAGTTTACCTTTATCATCTCCTAACAAATAATGTAAGTGCTAAATTTGTTTCTAATTAATATCTACAGATAATTAATAATAGATGTTTTCTATTGTCATATACAGTACATTAAAGGCCAGTTTTATTCCATCCTAAGAGCAAATAAACTGGAGATTATTGATCTGGGGAACAAGTTATTTCTGCATGTAATTTATCTCAGCTATCAATTAATCTTTAAGTTCAGTTGAATTACTTTACACTTTCCTGAGCCTTGGAAATGTTGTATTTTGTTAGCATTCAGGGGGACAAGGGGTTGACATATAATGTAGATTATTTAATGTAAAATAAGTTGAGTGTTCATTCTTCCTTCACACTGCCCAACAAACTGATCCACTAGAACAGCACCTGGTGTGCTTTCATTGTGATGACTGGTCTAATTCCTCTATCAGCACTTTTTCTCTGAGTATCAGAGACTGTTGGAATTCACACTGTGTTTTGCTAGGGAAATCTCCACAGGTGCTGATTAGAAGAGCAGTTGCTTTTTTCAGAATCAGAGCAGAATTTAGACCAGCTCTCACTGAATATTGGAATTTTTTAAGGCTTAAGTGGTAACTTGGAAATACACTCTCTTTTAGTGGTGATCCTTAAATGTCTTTTCTTGAAATCACAATTTTTAGAGTGTCATTGTATATTTCTTTTCTTCTTTTTTTTTTTTCACCAGGAAAAAATACACAACTTTTCGGTCAAAGTGTTGGAGACATGTGACAAAAAAATGCTACGATGATGAAGCTTGTCTTGAAACTTTAATCAAGGATGACATGCCCTGTTCTGCAAATGCTGATTGCAAAGCAGCCTACATTAGCAACTGGGGCACGATGCTGCACATGGAGTGTACCTGCCAGAATCTGCCTCCCATGGAGCAGTCTTTGTGCAAGCTCTTCCATCACATGCTTCACAGCAAATCCTGCTTCAGTGAGTTACGTGAGTAACACATAAAACCTCTAAGAATGATTATTTTTAAAAAGTATTAAGACGCTGGCTTTCACCAAATCTTTACTATACTTTGCTACCACTGATTTCAGCAAGATTTATAACTGCAGCTTTTTTTAAAAAAAGTCGAAAGCCTTCCTGTCATTGGCCTAATGTTGTACTTTGGTACACTGTTTTTTACAAATAATATGAGGTAGTATGTTGTTTTTCTTTCTTTTCTTCTTGGAGTCTAATTATTAGTCTACCTTATACTTATTTAGCAATAGACTTCATTCCACAGAAAATACTTTAACTTTTTTAAATATGACTTTATATAGGAATGGAGGCTTTATGATTTGGTCTTCAGTAAAAACACGGCTTAAGTCAGGTGAAATGTATGCACTTTCTCAGAACCAGTATCACCTTGTATGTGCTAAATAAATCAACTGCTTATTTTTGTTAAATATAAAGGTCCTTGCCAAGTCTTTAGTTACGAGAGAATTGCTAATGCAATAAATGGCAATATGGGAACAAATATTAATGTTTTAGTCTGAATCAGGAGTGTGCCTTTAAAGCAAAGCTCCTGTTTGTCCCAACTTACAGTGTTATGAGTCACATCATGGTGTGGTTCTACATCACAGGGTGGTTTTCCTGGATTCCTGCAGCCTAAAACTGAACCTGAAGGTTCATCTGCCACCTCTGCAATGCTCCAGCTACATCCAGATGTCTAGTCCATTGACCAGATCAAAGATCAGAATATCCTGCTCTCAAATCTCTGATCTCTTACACTAGCTATTTTGCTATATTTATATATTATACACTAACTATAAATCCTCTTAGGATGTGTTACTTGCTAGTGCATCATACCTTTTACCAGTCATCTTCTACATGTAATTATATATATTCTCAAACAATCTTGGGAGAGGTAACTATATCTAAAGATTACAGTGAAAAGCAATGGCTCTTTCATAGTTCTGTCTGATGGACTGTCTTTTGAAAACAGATATTAATTGTGTGCATTCATTTCATTGAAGGAATTAGGTACTTTTTTAATTCTAGTGACCAAAATGTTACCACTGATAAGAGTGTAATTTTCTTTTTTGTCACTCAAAGTTTACCCAGAAATGAAGTTGCTGAAACACTGTTCTTAATTTAGTTGATCATTACTCAGACTCTGAGAAAATATTACAAATCATGTAACAACTCCCCTGGAAAAGCAGGGGATACAGTTAAATTTGAGGCTACTAGCAGTGATTTTGCTTTTGAATGTTATTTATTTGTTTGCTTTACAGCTTAATTTAATGGTCCAAATGAGTGAAGACTTTTTGTTAGTTATTTCTTTACCTACAAAACAAAAAATATGATCCTCATGTCAGAATAATCAAATAATTGCTCACGAGCTTTGCCGTTCCCTGAAGCAACCTCAGGATAAAATGGTTTGGGGTTTTTTGTGATTGAAACTTCCCTAACCTAATTGAGATTGGAGAAGCTTACATGCTCATGTGGTGTTACAATTTCCTGGTAGTTAAACAAAACTGGTTTAGGGGAAACAGGACCTTTGGCTGAGTAAAGGATCAGTACCTACTCTACATTTGCAGGTTATTGTGAATCTTGCTGCTTTTCTTTTCTAGATGTCTAGTTGTAGTGCAGCTAAACTGTTGATGGCGATGACTATGGGTTTTATTATAAGGCACATATTTAATGCCTTTATCTGAAGGCAGCTCAGAGACATGGAGTGACTACTCTGTTGCAGAGCCCACCCATCCCCTTCTGCTAACTCATTCATCTGGCCTGAGGGTGAACTTTGGATGACTTTCACTCTTACAGTGGCAGTGATTTTTAACACTGAAGTCTTTCTGAACAGGCAAATACCCAGGGCTAGGAAAAGGGATTTTTGCCTATAGAACTGTTGTGAACAGACCCACAAGTGGTGTTTACACCATCTCATCTTCCTACTCTTGCATGGCACTGCCTTTGCTAAGAGCAGATGCTCTCGGGGCTGTGCTTACAGGATTACATTTGCTGCAGACTCAGTAAAAGGCAAGAATTGTGACTGGCTGCTATATGAGGCAGAAGCACAGTGTGGATCAGTGCCAATGTAGGATTAGTGTTACAACAGGAAAAAGTAAAAATGTCAGTGAGAGAAGGCAAAAATTGAAGCTTCCAGAATATTTTAACTCTGGGTTGTACATTTGGATCTAACAGAAAAAGAATGAATTGCAGGTAAGTTTATCTGTTTCTGTTTGGACAATGTTCCAGGCTGAAAATGAGCCTCTCTTATATTGTTTTCCTTCCTAAAGGAAATAAAAATTTCTCAGTTTAGAGTTCATGTGAGTGACCATGCAGAGTCTTGTATGATTTAGCCTCCTGCTGTAAACTGTTCTACTTAGGTAAACCCTCTACTTTTCATTTCAACAGAAGATGCATATTTTCAGATATATTCATGAAATTATGCCCACTACGAGAATAGACCTTTGTGAAAAAAATTTATTGATGTCTGTCAACTCAGTTGGAGAATAAACTCTGCATTTTGGAAGTTACTTCTAAGTACAACCCATTTCTCATCACTTTTATATTGATTTTATGGACCCGATTCTTCTGGTGGGCCTATTTTTAAAACAGTTTATGTGAAAAGACAACTTGAGCTGTTTTGTGGCAGAGAATATTTTCAAAGTGTGCTTGTCCCCCATAAGACAAACTGTGTGGGAGGTTCAGCTGAGATGGGAAAGGAAAAGCTGTTATGCACTCATTCAGCTTGTTCATCAAGTATCAGTAAACAATATTTTTAAAAACTCCCTTTACAAATGCTGTGGTGGTTATCAAAATATCAAACTGCAATATTCACCTAAATTATTTTTTTAAGCAATACTTTGAATGGATAATTTCTTTCCAATATTCAGGTCAAATTTCCATTCAGAAGAATGGTTTTGGCTGGGTAAATACAGAAATGCCAGGGGAAAAGCCTTCAGGAGCACAGCTCCATTCTTCTGCAATTAATGGTGAGTTTGGGCAAGTCACTTCATGATTTCTGTAGAAGTACTCTTGAAATATCCCTCTTGTGTGATAGAAAAGACTAAAGGTTGGGTCCCTTGGGTGGTTCAGGCAAGTGAGCTCAACCTCTTCCTCCCCCATTCAGCCTGGATAGCTCTCTACCTATTTGGCTTAGCTTATGTAACCACAAAATAAAGTTAATGAGACTGAACCAATTTCTCTGATAAGTGGTTTTGAAAAAGATGTCTCACAATCACTATATTATAATTGGGGAAAATTAAGCTATTAAACCTCCCAGAGCCTGACCCTCTGTACAATCATTAGAGAGTAGTAGTGATAATGTGTAATACAAATTATTAACTTTGATGTCACACTTACTTATCTCTCTTGACTTGTGTTACACTCCATCAGACTTTACCTCCTCATTCTAAAGAAGGACACACAATTGCGGATCACGATATCCCATGGGCTGAAGAGCTGTATCTGCTTTTATTTCAATGCATTTACAGTAAGCAGTTAAGCAACTTTTACAAAGTAAAGTTAAAGGATACTGAATTAATACATAAATTTTCTCATTGTTGAAATAATATTATTTTATATTTTCTTTTGAGGGACTCTAGTTACAGAGTGAGAACACTAGAGAGCTGAATGCACAAATACCAACTCTAACAAGAATGACCTGTTCTAACTTGTGGAGGACAGATTACAATACTCCAGACATTAATAAAAATTGGTTTCCAGAATTGTTCATACAGAACACTTTTAACAGTGAAAAAAATAATTCCCTCTCTGCATGTAGTACAAAATGAAGGGACTTCTATCCACTCCATCCTTCAACTATTACTGAAGTGGGCAACCTGGGAAGTATATTAATAGATTAAGGGAATGGGATTCCTGAGACCTGTATATAACAACAACAACAACAACAACAACAATAATAATAATAATAATAATAATAACAAATAATTAAGCATTTGGCTGTAGTGTTAGCATTAAAACTACTTAAGAATCATGCATGTCATCCAAGTACTCTGTGTAGCCAGAGAAGAAAGTCAGGGACCCTCAAAAGAAGATTAATCCAATATTTTTGGACTGCATTTTCTGCAAGTATTGACTTCTTTTTGCCAAGTACAGAGGGAGCCTGAATCTCTTGCTGGAACAAGACTCTAGTGATTAAATAATGCAGGTCATAATACAAGAAATCCTGCTCTAAGTGAGAAAATGCAAAATGCAAGTTATTTCACCCCTGTGACTAGTTCTAACTGCAGACCCTTTCAGTGGGTAAAATGTATTATACCTTTCCCTCAGGGATTCAGATAAATATTTGCAAAAAGCAGCCTGTACCCAGTTAATTCTGTTCCCACTGAAGTCTGAATACTTTCCAAAAACCTTTCCTTGAAGTCTTAACAGAACTTTGGATGGCCTTAGAAAAATAAAAAGAATGCTGACCAGCCTAAACTATACAATAAAATATTCCTTCTATTGGAGCTGTCATGTACTATATGGGAACTCTCTAAGCCATAAAAGTCTCATAGGAAGCCAGGCAAGGAGAGCAGTTTGTTTCAGGATATCTACCTGATGATAAAAGCCACATTGCAAATTGTTTCATAAATCCCACAGCCAAAACTCTAACCCAGTATCTGAGATTCATATGCTAGTAAATGTGCATTACTCAGGCTGCAAAGGCAGTTATCATCTTCACAAAATATTTATCTTTAATGAAATCAAATCCCAAGAAGAATCTCAGGGTGCAGTGGCAAAACAGTAAAATTGTCAAATATGGCATTTTGTGTGTGTGAAGGCTTTTGAAGATACTTGCTTCTTGGAAAGCAGGAGATGCAATCTGCTGATGTCAGTACAATAAAACAGAAGGAGAAGCCTTTACTTAGTTTGTCATTGCAAGATGCAAGAAACACTTTCACCAGTTGAAATGCATGACCATCTACAGATGACCATGCTCAGAAGAAATTAAGTATTTCTTCAGCTTTTTCTTCATTTTATTGCTCAAAAAATACCTTACTGTTCAAAAAACCAGTAAGATTTCTCCATTCTACTCAGCAGCATTGATATTCATCTCATTGAATAAGACTGCTTTAATAAAAGGAGTCTTTCATAATAAACAGTAAATCTGAACATATATACGTATATCCAAATATATTTGCAAATAATTAGAACCACGGAAGTTGAAAAAATATTATTCCAGCTCTTGGTGTAAAAAAATGATACCAGGATCGTGTAAAAATCTTGACTGGATTTAAACACATACCCATTCTCAGGGGGGAACAGGCCAACACAGTCATCTGTGGGCTGATACAACTCTTAACAAGATGTGATATGGGCAGAGTCATGACCATATAAAAGTTAAGGAGACTTTTGCTGAAAGCTTAGATGGGGCCAGAATTTTATGTCATTTTGGAAACAACATCCAAAAACCATTCCATTTTTGGAAAATAAAAGTGATGAAATCTCTCTAAAGATGTTGTTATTGCCTATCTAATTATGCATTTTCAGCCTGGTTTTGACTTTATCCCGTGCAAATTATCTCCACAGTTTTACAGATACGACATAATTTAAAAGATTTTCAAATTAAAGTGTGTGAAGATAAGCATTTACATTCACCAGCACAGAGCTTTGGAGCTAAGTTAGGAGTTTCTTTTATGGAAGAGAAAGCAAGAAATACAGAACATTTATCCTGTTCTTGTGAGATGCAATAAAATTGGGCTTGACCCAAGGCTGTTGAAATTAATCTCATTTTGTCATAAATTGTAGTGTTATCATATATTTTCTGCTGAGGAGTTGTGCTGTGCTGAGTATCTAGATAAACAAGTAATTGGCACGGTTTATCTATAATTATACCAGCTGCTGGGGGAACTGAGATTAGTTCAGCTCCAGTGACTTTAATTTGTAAGGTATGAAACATTATCCATCTGACTGTTTTATAAATGTAGAAAAACGCCTTTGACAAGCTGTGGGTAGCCAAGAAACCTCTGAGCACAAGCTGGCATTAATCTGTTCGATGGCTATGCCCTGTGTATGCAGAAGCAGGTAGATTTACAATGGAGTGCAATCCCACCGATTGTTCCAGCTCTTGACCCACAGTTGCCTTCTGCCAAGCCTCATGACTGGAACTGCCCGTGTGTCTGTGTGGGCAGCTCCAGCTGGTGCTCCAGTGGTACCTACAGCCCCTGAGGACATCACGCCAGACATGGGGGCCCTGCTATAGACCTGCCGTGAGGCGACAAGGCCCACGAGTCTCTCATGACTACAGGCCACCTCCATGGCACACAGCAGCGACCCCAGCACCTCACAGCCCCATGGAAATGCCAGCTATCCACTTGTGTCTCTATACATACCGGGAGTTTAACCACAACGAATATATAACATGCAGAATTAGCTTTTCAGCCGCAAAATTTTGCCTCACAAATTTCCTTACTTCTCTGCAGCACTGAGAAAATACATGGTTTCTAGCATGATCTCATCACTAACATCCTTCTTTTGTTCCCAACAGAACTTTATCACCATCTCTTTTACCAGCAATTCACCAAAAACACAACATTTTTTAAGATTTTGACCAAAAAAATAGAAACATATTTATTTCGTTTGATCACTTAAGAGTGTTTTTTTAATCAAAATGAAACACCTTTTACAAATGTTATAAGAGAAATATCACAATGTTTTAGTGGAAATTTATTAGCCCATTTTTATCGACGTATGACTGTTATTCCTAAAAACTTGTAAGGTAAAATAATTTTCCTAGCATTGTGATAAGTGATGTACTTTAAAAACTTCTTTTTGCCTAAAATATGTGTGAAAATCACTTCTACTTCAAAGAAAGTAGGAAACTGTTAGTCCTACAACTGCTCCTGCACTTGTAAAAAGTTTTAAAAAATGACTATGTTTACAATTAAGATTCAGAAACTGAAAAAATGCCTACAAATTACTCTTTTGCAAAAACTCATTATCTTAAAGAAATGTTGTAACTTGAGAGGTGGGTTAAACTGCTGATCTGGTTTTTAATATATGTTTTTAGCAATCCTGCTCTGAGACAAAGATGGATCTCACACCCCTTTCTTCAAAAATTTACCGTATTAAATATCTTTCAATAGCTTGCTAGATTAAATGGTATGTTCATTCTGTGCAATTTGTGATGGTTCAGTCATTGCTTTAATTTTTCTTGTATTGGAAAACTTCAATTTGGGATAGTTTTTTGAGAAAAAGTGAGCACCATCATACCATAAAAGCCAGGCAAATCCAACCCCCTGTTCAACTCCTTGCTTGCCCTGCTGTAGAATATTCAGTCTCTCTTACTGGAGCTGCTCCAGCATCCAAACAGCCTGTGTTTGTATTACACTGCACACTACATCTGCTGCATTTACGCAGTGTGTACAGAAATGTCTCATTTAGGGTTTGTGTGTGCATATGCACAAACAACACACAAGACATTTAATAACTGATAACTTATTCAGAGACCAGAATTTGGCCTTCTCACAGCCCAGATTAGTGGCCCAGTGATGAGACCGGGAATCCGTTTCTTCTTCAGTGAATGTTTCACCAGCTATGTAAGGTGGAGCAGCTCAGGAACAGCTAAGGCTCTCTGCATTTGAGTTTCTATGTAAATAAAACTTATTTGATTGTATAAACATGACAGTGCAACAGGAAAGTCACAGAAAGGTCTTGTGGTTTATGTTTGCGGCTCTGCATTTATGCCCTCTTGTCAAGCCATCTAACCTCTCCATTCCATGTCCAGGGCTTACTTTACACTCTCAACTTGCTGAAACATTTCCTTCAGAATATTTGGTCAAGACTGATGGATTCATTCCTTCAGGAAAAATAAAGTTTCTCCTCATTTGGAAAACAAAAGTTGAAACAGCTCCCAGTTTTGCAACAGCTGGAATTTTTAGCACATAAGCCACCTAAGTGACTTTTTGGTGAGAAGCCTAAGAGAAAGAGGAAACTCCATGGGAATGGGGCCCAGAAACACAGTTTAAATCTAAATCCCATTTTACATTAATTTGATTCTAGATCAAGCATTGCTGCACACTGTAATTATTGTAATATGTGAAAAAGGAAAAGAAGGCTAGAAGGTAAGTAGGAGCCAGGCCTGCTCTGATACACAGAAAAAATTAACATTTTAAAATTAATAGGGAGAATACTCCAAAACACAAATCAGAGTAACAAAACTGTTCCCCTGGAGTAGAGTAGAAGGTAGTGCTACACATACAAAGTGCTATTGGAGCTGGTATTTACTAAAAGAAGTTTGAAAATTGCTTTGTACCAACTGGCGAAGGAAGAGTTATTCCTACCACTGACATACCACTTAGATGTTTCCCCTCCTTTTAATTACTTATGTCAAAATTGATAGCTATTTTAGCTTACATATGTATGCATTCCAGTTCAGATCTCAAATCTGATTCTTATTACTGAGAAAGTAAACACTTCATGTCTGTTTTCTGTTTCTTACTTATAGGTGAAACAGTCTACATTATTGCCTACTCCTCCTGCATAGCTCTCATACTAGGAATAGTCCTGTTGACTCTCCTCAACATCAGGTAATTTGATAGGGATATTAATCATGGGTTCTAGGAAATTGGAAAAGCAGAAAATAAAATGTTTTGAGGTGGACACCACGTTTATCTTTAAAAACAGTCCAGCATGTCCCAGTGATGGAAAGAACTGACATTGCGGGTGTCAGCAGGGAAGAGTGAATTACGATGCGTATCTACAATGCCCTCCATTCATGCAGAGATCCCGGGCTTTAGGAGGTTTCATTTCCTGTCCCATGGTAGGGGAAGGTGAAATCTGAATTCAAAAATTCCATGAGGCTACCTTCCTAGCCCCATAGCAGGCAGCAGTAATGCAAAAAGGAAATGAGAATATTCAGCATTATAACATATTTAGAAACCAAACCATGAATGCTGGTATTGTAGTTAATATTCTTGCCAAATGCCATTTTTGCTGATAGGATTCTGTGAACAACACCCATCATCCCCACCATCCTCCCCTCCCAACCCCCGCCCCATATGACAAACTGCCCACACACCAATGCTTGGTAAGAAAACAGAAATGTGCATTCACTTAGTTAAATGAATATGGCCTTCTCTTAAATGATACATTTTCTTGAACAAAATTAAATGGCCAGATTTCAAGAATTACACTGTCAGATGATAGGTAACAGAACATGATATAGCAGGAGCTATATATAGCAGAAGGGATATTGAGTCAAATTTCATTATTAAATTCAGAGTCAGATCAAAGGAATCATGTAGAAAAATGCAAAAAGCAAATCAAGAATATATGGGAACAGAGGCCTTCTCTTTAGGTTTGCAGTTACAGGAATATCAGCATATAAATAAAACTCAGATTTAAAGAATACAGAGGATGGAAGAAAGAACAGTGCATTAATAACAATGAAGTGAATTATTTTTTAGCACAGTGTTCATCATAAGAAGAGAGGAATTTTGCCACTGATTTCAATTAAGCCTAAGTTCAAACCAAAAGCTGTACAGTTTATTGTTGAATACATGCACATTCTTTGTTTTCAGAGCCTGCAGAACAAAATATGAGTCAAGAAGTCTCTTGCCAGACCATTCTTCTGAAACATTTATGACCCATTATAAAACTCACAGATGAACTACTCTGTTGCTTATGCTTTTTAAGGCTGTTCTTGAAAGCCAACCTGTACAGATGTGATAATAAAATATATATTAGAAAAACTACTATAAATTACGGAATTTTGTAGTTAAGAATACTAAATATTTTTATATTTATTAGTTCATACAAAACCTTTCATAAGCCAAAAAAAAAGGTAGAAGTGTGCTCTCTCTTACTTGCCTAGATTCACAGATCTGTCCCTGAGCTGCACATATCCTATATTTTTAGATGCACATGGCAGTGGTATAAATGTTGTATCAACAGTGGCAGTCTTTGAAGCCCACCCTTCTGATCTCAGCTCATCTGGAAGAAAGAAAAAAAATCAAAAAACATTTGAGAGAGCTGATAAAGAGCACACATGTGATAGGTTTGTACACTAAGCTCCCAGATACCAAGTACCGGATGTGGTATTTGTAAGGCAGCAGTCACAGGTAGGCTGCCTGTACTTCGATGGTGGAGCATTTGTGGGCTAGAAGATCAGGATTACAACCCCTTTCAGATCTGAAATGACTATCTGAACTACTGCTTTGACCCCAGAATGTTGTTGCTGGAACTGGTTTTAATTTCTACTCCAGTATGCTTCAAAAGAAATGAGTGCGGTTTGCCACGTTGAATACAGTAAGTTTAGAAAGCCTTTTGTGGTCTGAATGCCCAGTGGAGAGAGCCACTTGCTTGGGGCTGAAGTGCCTGCTTCTGAAGAGAGAAGCTATGATCCATCTCATTATCTGTGTTTCCTATTCATTGCCTCTAGGAAAGACCCGAAGTGCCTTATTCTCCCCTTGCACTGTACTGGGAGTCATGGTCCCTAACACACCATTCTGGATCCCACTTCCTGGCTTTGAGCTCTGGACTTCTCTCTGTAGCTGAGTTGTTTGGCTAGATTTAAGCTTCTGTTTATTACCAGTTAGTGGTCTTTGTCAAATCTTGGTAACAGTCTGGTTCTGGTGAGCACAGGATAATCAACTGGCATTTCTCATTCAACTTTACCAATGAGTAGCACATGTCTTATCTTGTTACAATAGCATCTGATTAATTCTATTTTGAATGTGGTTACTTTTAATTTTATTTGAATTATCACTAAACGTAACTCAGCTCCAGTTTTGACTATGACAGATGACTGATCTAGGGCTAGAAATTTATGTGATCAGAAAAGCAGGGATCTCTACTCTTCAGTGCGACTTTTGCTTCTTACTTTGTTAGCCTGTGAAATGATTAGTGTGAGAGCAAACTCTTAAGTGTGCAGTCGTTGGGGAGAGGTTTAGAAATTTTTAACAATTATTAAAATACGCATTTTCCCTGTCTTTATGATCTGCATAAACCAAAAAAACTTGTTCTTGTTTTGCAATCAAAAGTTTTGTCATTACTAAATCAGCATTTGGACAAAAATACAGAAACAGAAAAATGCAGTTACTTTGTTAATTACAAAGATCTCATTTAGCAGTCCAGCAATTTGCAGCACTTAGCTCACCTCCTAACATGTAGGTTATTTTAAAGTGGTATATTCTTATTCTTCATCTTAAAACTGTGAAATAGAAAAAGTTCAAACTGAAAATACTGTTGAGAGTCTGTTCTCATCAGTGTTGGGTAAAACCATTTCTTTATGTAGGAAATGTACTTATGACATGAACCTTGTGCTGGTTTTTGGTCTACTTCAAAAAACAATGATGCAATGCTGAAGCCTCCACATCACAAAATCTGAAGAGAGCCATTTAAATACAGATTTAACTAAACTTTAGTCAACAATAAAAAATCTCCTTCTTAGAAACTTTTTGTTTTCTAATTATCTTATATTTAGACACTAGAATTACAACTCATATATGGGCTTAGACATATTCACACTGTAATGTAAAACGTATTTGAAACTGAGGATAAGTATGTGAGTTACTCTGAAAGACAGCAAGATATTTTGTGGCTATTGTGTTGCTTCTGTGATTTTACAGGCTCTCTTCATTAGAGATTAATTAAATGCTTAATGGAAAAAGTACATTTCCTCCATTATCTATGTAAAAAGTATTTTTTTTAATTTATCTTTCCTAGTGATACTGCATTCTGGCAATTGTATCTAGGTGTTATTAAATAAAGGAATTTCTGCTGGGATGATCTGTATTCAGGTGATCATGATTAGACTGCTTCATGAACAGTTTTGTGATCATAAAATCACAGAATTGTTTAGTTTGGAAAAGAACTTTAAGATCTTTGAATCCAATTGTGATGGAAGAAGAACCAGTATTTTTGTAAGAACTTCATCATTAAAAATGTTTCCCCTGAAATATGACATCTTTCCAGATGAGGAAGACTGAGTCTCATTGATGACTTGGGATTCCCAGGACACAAGGTCTTTCTGGGTAAGGATGTGGCATTTATCCCCTTTCTGTTGGAGCTCGGACTTTGCAAAGTGAGTCAATGAAGACTGATTGGGCTAGAAGGAGAGACCATAATTTTTTGCCTTACAGCACTGTCATTTGAAAGGGAGAATACTGGATTTGTATTTTCTTTCAAATTGTTTGTGCATTTTATCTAAAGATTGTTTCAGATTAATCGTGTAGAGTTTTTGAGTCAAGTACACAGGAATAACTCTTTTTTATTAAAGCTACAAGGCTGTAAAGTCCAAATCTCCACTTTTTCTGTCTTGCCACAGTGAGTCTTGAATTCTTCAGAAGGAAGATTTTTTCCTTGGCCATTCTCACCTGTTTGTGTGGTGCGAGAATGAGCTGCTTGGACAGACAAACGTGAGCTTGACCTTGTCAGGCTGTTGTGGCAATCTGCATCCAGGTACTCTGAGTTAGATGTCAGATCAAGCTAGTAACACAGAAGATGGATGGAAGCAGCATTAACACCGTCCCCAAGATGGTGTCATAAAACAGAGAACACCATTCAGTTCTCTTAAAGAATTACTGTGAGTGTCTTTCCACCAGGGAAAATACAAACCGTTGCATTCAAACTAGTGAAGATAACTTAACTGCAGCTCATGCTGAGCCACTTCAATAGTAGCACGGGGTAGAGAATTTTGCTGTTGACTTTGCCAAGAAATCGCCCTGATCAACATGTTGATGTTTCAGACCACATGCTGAAGTCGTTCAGTCTCCCATGAAGGGTGTAGGGAGTCTTCATCAGACATCACTTAGAGGGCACATTACTCCTGGCTGTAGCTTTTAATGTATAGTTAATGCAGGAAAGAAATGTTTCCCTAGTAACTTAAAAGAGATTTGTCTGCTGTAAAAGCCCACAGGAACACCAGATAAAACAGGTGATCCTAAGAAAAAGCACTCAAAATGGATTACTGGGTAACAAAGTCAACACAGGCATACATGTCAGTGACAGCTTATATTTGTTAATGCTGTATGCATGAGCTGGTTGGTCAGAGCTGCTGAATCTGGTGTAATACACGAGTGTATCAGTTTCAGTAAACACTGAGACAGATTTTATTTCAGCTTTAACACCACGTATTGCAAAATCACAAATGCATTTAACCAAGAGGATACATGACAGCTCCTTAACAAACATATCTCTTTGACATCAGTTTCAAAAGACTAAGTTGACTTTGGCTGCGTTCCTTCTGCCTGCTGTGTTATTGCAGCAATGAATATCACTGCATTACAGCAGGACTCTAGAGAAAAATAATCTTCAAAAATATAACGAAGGTATTGATCAGCAAGTCAAGAACTGAAAATCAAGTATCTTTCATTTACTTCTCCAGACTTTAGTCACTTTTCTAGATACTTCACAATCAACAAAGAGAACTTAAGGCAGTGTTAGAAATCATAGAAAAATTCAGTGGCAGAGAATACTGATTTTCAGATATCACAGTAACTAAACAATATTTCTACCCCTTAAAATAACTCTGTGAAAAAATAGGCAGGTCTCATACATTCACCCTAACTTTCTAGGCAAGTATTATGTCAACTGCACTGATCCCAAAAGTAAGAATTTTACCTCACAGACTTGCAGTCTTAATTTTGTGGTTCCCTAATACAATAATAAAAGTTTTATGAACTCAAATGACACTATTAAGAGAGGAAAATTAGCCAAAGCCTCTCTGGACTTATTCTCAAGACCAGAATATTTAGTTCTTCTTTCCATAAACTCTGGTTATACATGAAAATGAAACATTAAAGTGCTGGTCCAGAGCCAAATTACCCTAATACATAAAAGTTTAAATTACAAAGCAAGTGCTGCTGGAAGACATCAGCACTATCCATGTATGGGATCCATGTGATTTCTGTCTTCTGCAAGGCACTGAGGAATGATTATGCCCGTAGTAATGGAACTGATCAACGTGTCCTCCAGAAAAGCACACCAGCCATGCCTTTAGAACAATACCTTGGCACAGAACAACTTCATGTTGTTCTGTGAGATCTCTCCGGTGACTTTGATACAGTGTGATACAGAAGAAAGTCTCCAAAGCACAGAAGCTTTGGTTCATCTAATTTGTCTCTGATAAGACTTGATGAGTGCAGCCCGTAACTAATTCTTCCCTTCCACATGCTCTCACCATTAACAGCAAAACAGACAGAGAAACAGCATGTCCCCACATTCCAACAGTCTGATCATGGTATTCAGAACTCTGTTGCTTTTTCTTCATACATTTCCACAAATATAATTTTTATAATGACACAGTGATAAGAACACCTGCTCATGGAAGCCATGATGCAAACCTTTCACAGCCAGAGGGTTACTTCAGGGTGAAGTGACGGCAGAGTACTCAGTGGGGGACACTGGTAGGGGCTGAAAGAACAGACACCACTACTGATGGGTCACTCTGAATACAGGCATAAAGATCTAGGAAGTCAGAAGCACCGCAGAGCATCATCCCATGTCTTGATATATTTTTGAAGGGGTGTAGCATAGCTATTGATCTTAAGAGAAACATATGCCTATTTTGTGAAGCTAAAGATTAGGTGTCAAAATGTTCTGCACAGTAAAAATGATGCCAACCCAGGAAAGCAGAGCAGCAGCACTTTACATGCCTAAAAAATTTCAGTAGGGAGAACATGAGATGTTTCAGGATTCTCAGTCACACTAAAAGTAAACAAGGATTTTATAGCGATTGCTCACCTGGACCCACAGACCTAAATTCATCCCATGTGGCATTTTTAGCACATAAACACTAGGTTGGGGTTTTGGTTGGTTGGTTGTTTTTGTTTTTTTATTCTGTGTGTTTCTTTCTGTCTTGTAACGATCCTGACATAAAATTTATTTGTCTGTGACCTCCACCCCAGATTACTTAACTATGTGGTTGAAGCTAAAGTGTGGGTAAAAAACAGGCTCCAGATGTGACTGCTCATCTTTTCCAGTGCTCACATCATTATAGAATAACAGACCTGCATTTAAGGCTCTCCACAAACTTCCAAGTAGTTTCTAAACCATATCCAATAGAGCACTGAGACATTTTCAGTTGTTCATCCCCATGATTTAATAGGTACCCTGTTGCACTGCATAGGGAGAGTTAAGAGCCTTAGAACTGCAAACTGAACAGCCCAGATGCTGAAAAGGCTACGATGTGCTGTGCAGAGACACACTGGAAAACTCCACAGTGTAAGGATCTCCTACAGCCAAATCTAGCAAGGCTTCATGGTAGTTAGGAACACAGACTTCTAGAATTCCCAAAGAACTGAGCAGAGCTAGTCCTTTTATTCTATAGTCTATGTTCTACATATGTATTTAATTGAACACAAAAATTGTGTTAGTAGCAAACCCACTTATTTTTATCTAATATGCTGTAGTTAGTATATTTAACCAAAAAAAAGGACAGTATCTGTTCAGTTCCTAATTTGGCTGACCACCTTCAAGGAAAAGAACTCTGCCATCTGTTGCAGAGATGTCTTTCCTTGTGATCTTTCTGGTCTTACGAATTTTTAATTCCATTCTACTCAGTGGCACAACTTCATGCAGATCTACTAGAAAGTGTGTTTTTGTCAGTTATGTATATAGAGGGATGGTTAGATCCATTGATTAAGATGCCCCAAAAATGTGCATTTGAATCTCCCCAGGCTGAGCAGCAAGCTCAGTCTCACACCATTTGCCTACTCTGACATTCAGGCTAATATTTAAAACGTGGTTTGCATCGCAAATGCTTTTTATTTTTTTCCAAGGGCTGACTTCATTTGCATTCTTTGAGAAGCTAAATTTTGTTTATGTGGATGAGACCTGCTCACAGGGTCTTGGGTGGAAGAAAATTCATCAGGCCCTACATGAGAACTGCATACTTCAGCTCAAAATGAGCCAATTCTGTACCTCCACAGAGAAAATTAAGAGGAAAATTTATTGTTAAATGGGAAAGCATTACAGTGTGGTTAGTCACCTTCAGGGGTAAATGGCACTTAAAGTAGGGAGTATTTAGGATGTCAATTCTGGCAAAAAGTTTAGGCTTAACTACTAATTATTAGTCTAAGCACAGCCTAAATACTGCTGCAGATTCCTCACTTCTTCATGGGATCTAATCCATTACAGAATTTTTAAATCTGTGAATGGTTCAAAACCTGATTTCATTTAAGTTCATGTTTTGATATATGAGCCATTGTGTCTGCTAAATAACAAAGCCCCAGCTGTAACACGGGAAAAAGAGGACAGAGCTTTTTTTGCGGTGATCCAAACATGCATCTAGGGCAGGTCAAGCAAATCAAGATGCTCACAAAGTATGACTATCAAGATGCTCACAAAGTATGACAGAAAAAAATTGTAAGTGGTTCCTTTTGTGTAAGCTAGTCCGGCAGAATTCTATTACCCTAAAAGGCTCATGACTTACGAGGCAGAACATCAATTCATAGCCTATAGAATGAAAAATTGAATTGTTTGATGAGACCTTGGATGAAAATTTCGCCCCTTCTACAGTACTATAAACCTGAATGATGTTGAAGACCTTGACAGTTTTTATTTGCTTCATATAATTAGGTTTTAGTAAGTTGAGGAGAAAAGGCAACTACAACAAATTTAACATACATAACAAATAAGGAAATTTGCATTAGATTTGAAAGATCTGGCAGACTGCCACTCACCACAATGTCTTGGAACAAGCTTACATCCATAATTTAACAGATGTTAAACAAAACAAAATAAAAAAAAAGTTCTATTGCTAAAAAATTCTTATGGTAAATTCAGATTTGTCTCCATGTTCATAACACAAGTAACTTGACAAATGAAAAGTAAAGATTCAGATAAATAAAACACAGAATGGCCACACACAGCCTGGGATCTCATAAACTACTACAAATATTTGTACTGTTCTGAAAGTCATCTTGATTAAAACTTAACCATGTATTCACTGTTTCTATCCAGTTTTCCTGAAAAGAATAAAAATTCTTTTCTCCACTGTAGAAGAACCAGTCATGGGGTTCTGTACTACAGTCATTTATTTCTTACTTACAAATCAGAAAATTCTTAACAAGACAGTACAATACAATAATTCTTCCCATAATAAAAAAATTATATATGTACTCTATTTTACTTCTTTGCTGAAGTGGTTTTCTTATGTTTGTTTTCCTGATACAAATGTTCTTGGTCAAGGTAGATGAGAAATGTGATCAAGCTGCAAAAAAAAAAAATCCATTTAATTGATAGTCCCAGTATGGAAGGAAGCTTGTGCGACCTTTGAGTTTGTTTTCTTGTTCAAAGCTGTGCAGATGAAATTTCCAGCTTCCATCACTGCATAAAGATTCACTCCCTAAAAAAGAGGTGAAAAATGTTAAGAATAATAAATGCACATGATGAAAATGCTTAGACTCCAAGTTTTTTTGCTCCAGGGTCTAAATTTTGCAAACAATGGGCCTGATACATGTTGTAGATCAGTAACAGAGATCAGCAGAGTTAGAGTGATCTACAGATTAGTTAAGCTTCCCACTGTTTGGAAGGTTCTACCACTTTGAGAGTGGTTTCTTCTCTTAACAGCAGTGGACCAAAATGTTGGAGTAATATATTTCAAACTCAAAAGAATCTGGAATAAAGAACTGGAATTACAACTAGAAGTTGGAAGAAAAATACAGTGTTTACATATGTGCTGTACTTCTTTATCACCCAGTGCTAAGGAAGTTGGTGTATTTAAGTATTCCATCTGCAGTTCAGGAAAATGGAGGAAACACACTTGCATTGGCAACTGTGTTCAGGGAGAAACGGGTTCCTGTATTCTCTTGAGTAAACACTATCTCCTTCTTGAAGGAGTTCCTTTTAATCCAAATTACATTGCTATCACAACTGAGCAAAAATTTGCATCTGCTTGATCTGCCCATGCTAAAAAACATGTCCCTTGAGCAACCGCTTTTTAACTAAAATAAGGTACATATCAGTACTGCTTAACTGTGAAAATGAAATCAGATTACTGATTAAAGAGGTTAAAATATACTTCATTATCAGTATCCTAGATTGCTTGGGTGTAGTCAAAGTTTTAGAGTTAGATCATGTAAGTGGTAACAGTACTTGCTCCAAAGGTTGGAATTTAGGAGCTTGTAAAGTTCCTGTAGAAGGGATGCAAAAGGGGACTTGAACTACAAATACACTGAGCAGTCACACAAAACTGGGAGAAGGGTGTCACTCAACATTAAAGAGTAAAAGGTGTATTGCAACTGAAATGCATTTTCATCACACTTCCACACTGATGTACTCAAGTCCAGACCAAGACCTGAATCAAATACTTAATCCTGTAATTGGTTCTAGGAATTATTTCCATGTTCTTTGGTAAACTTGGTCTTTTTCATACTTGGAATTGGCTAAAAATGTTAATGAGAATAGAAATTACCTAACAGAAATGTAATCAAAACCATTTTTAATTTGAAAAAAATTCTTCAAAGTTTCCAATCAGCACCATGTAAAACATCTGGTCATTACTTAGGTTTAGTTTGTAAAGCCCTATTGCACATAACGTAATATAAAAAATTTTTAATGTATCTGTGCTTTTTAACAAGGCAGAAATGAGCAACACAGCACCATAGATATACTTGGTAGTTGGATGATGGAAGATGTCAAAATAAACTCCCCAAACTATCCAATATTCATGTGACACTGCATAATGTGATATATGTTGATAAACATACGTTCACAGTTCACATTCATTAAATGGAATATATGCATCTCTGCTTTTTAAACTGTCTTTCTTATGCAAGTGGTGTGAACCAAAGAGGATTACCAGGAGGGCACAATACGTAGCATTGGTGAGCATCACTCACAGATAAGAATGGGACAAGAGCAGTGATAGGGATTTGTAAGGGTGCTGAGCCAAAATAACATGTCTTCAGATAGATACTCAGAATATACTGTGTAGTAGCCACTCCATATCTCCAGAATTACTCTTTGATTCCAAGGCATGAAACAAACAAACAAAAAACAAACAAACAAACAAACAAAAAAGTGCCAGTAGTATCTATGTACTTGGTCAAGTGCCTTAAATCAGACAGAAGGCAAAATCCTTTAATTCCCATGAACTTCAGAACATTTAGCCTGACAAAGATTAATTTCATGGGTCACTTCTTGATTACATGTTCTGAAGAAAAGTATAGAAGAAGAATCAGTTATTATTTTGATGTATCTGGTCAATCTGAACTCAGTAATGTATGATTAAATACTGTCCATCCTTTGCTTGACACTTCGACTGACTTCAGTCAACAAACTGAAAGCTTTAGTGCATAGCTGAGATGAACATGAGAAAGTGCTCCTTGCAAATGGACAGCATTAGCAATAAAAATTTCATTTTGGGCCATTACGCAAAAAGGAACGTATTAATAGATTTGTGCAATAATGATTTTACAGAACTGGCAATGGTACCAAAAACAACCAACACTACAAAGACCAAAACTCATATATTAAAGTAATAACTCTGAGGCTCCAAGTCTCTCATCCAGTAAAACACACTTTATTTAATGGACCGGAAAGGATTCAAGAAGCAAAGCTTTGTGTTTTTCTTTTGTATAATCCAAAATTTAACAAAACCACCAACAAAGACAACAAAACAAAACAAAAGGACAACTAAATGTTTCATGGTGAGATTCTCTCCATGGGATTTGGTATCAGGCTTTAGGACAAGCTAGATTCCTGCTTGGACACCAGACCATTAACAGATTAATCAATCTTATCAAGAAGCCTGGAACAAGGTATATTTCATATAATCAAATTTTTATTTAATGGCTTCATTTTGCTATGAGTCATTTGGAAAGGCCAATTGGTATTTTGCCCAAGGAAAGAATATACTGAAAGCCTAAGTCTTACAGTGCAGAGCAATGTAAAGTGAAATGCATGATTTCTCCTCCTTATTTCAAGGACCTGTGTTGTTTCAAAAGAATAAACATCATCTTCTTAAGATGTGTCCCAAAGTGTGTACAAACAGTTCAAAATAGAGTCCACTTGTAAAATAGACAGTTGTGATTGAACCTTTTCTAAACAGGTGTCTGACATCTACTCAGAATTCCCTAAAAAGCAAATGAGAACAGATAAACTTTTACAGTGAACTCTGTAAGGCACTGATTATGCCTTAACAGGGAATGTACAATTCAGAAACAAGTTCTATAATCCTTTTATGTCAAGGAACTCTATCAGCATGTGTACCACACTGAACTGCAGCCTACAAACAAGTGATAAACTCCTCAATAACTCAAATCTTCATATTTCAGACATCAGACATTTCAAGTTCTTTCTGCAGTAGTTTAAATGCAAACCACACGCTTTGCAGGTTTGGCAGCTCTTTAAATGTTCTGCTTTGAAGTTGACTCTCAGAATCTGTGTATATCAGTTAAAGTCACTGTAATGCCTGAATTAGCACAAACACATTGTGTCACATTTCCAGATCAGCAGTGGCCAACAGGAAGACCAAAGAGCACACATTCATTGGAGAAGGTGGGATTAATTGGTTCCCATGAATACAGAATAATTAACTTGCCAACCATGCGGGAGATACTAAAGGTGTGCTCTTGAGGTGTGGATGCTCGCGTTTAAGGTTCATTAAAGTGCAGCTCAGTGCAGATAAGCTGCTCTACCCTCTACACCAAGAACAGAGATGGAAGTAAAAATTACTGTGAAGCCTGATAGGCAGTAACAGGTTTTGTACAATTTTGAAATATATTAAGTGGATATCTGAGAAATAATGATCACCACGATTTTTTTTTCCAACTTTGAAGCCAAAAAAATTGACAACAAATTAATAAGCACTATGAACCAAAAACAAAGCTGTGACAAAAGCTGAGATCCACTCATTCTTTCTACTGTAGAGCTGATAAGCCTTCTGGAGCAATGTCTACAATATGAATGTCTTGTGGCTGCTGAGGCAGAACAAATAACTCAAAGCAGGTACCACTAAGCTCTGCTCTGCTACCATAGCTCCAGGTAGGGAGATTATTCAAATAATGTTAAATACACAAATCAATTCTACTCTAAATTGCTAATGAAGATGACATCATTCATGTTATGTGTCAAGCCATGTCAAAGCACTGAGTTTGCAAAAGCTACAATTGGCTCACAATATTTTACTGTACCGCACAAGTAATTGGCAGGTACATATTGTATGTTTTCTAGAAAAGTATTTTTGGTTTTTTTAAAGTCTAAAGTAGAAAGTAAAAATATCTTACTGTATTGATCCCCAGACCATTAAGCATGTATATCACATCCTCTGTGGCTACATTTCCAGTAGCACCTTTTGCATAGGGACAACCACCAAGTCCTGAAACAGATGAATCCACTACAGAAACTCCCATCTGGAAAATAACAGCACAAAAACGAAACATCAGCACAGATTATTAATTATATTTATTGATAAATGACAAGCCATATGTATTAGTTACATGCAAAAAATATGCACTTCTCCAAAAATGGATGTGTTCCTTGGAGGAAGTCCCTTGTAATGGAAAAATTAGTCCTGACATCTTTATAAGGTAAGACTTTTCAAACACAGGATATGAAACAAAGAACTAACAGTCCATAATATATGATTTTGACAGATAAGATGATTACTGGTTTAGAGTCAAACAGAGGTTTATGCTTTTTCTCTCTTTATCTTCCAACATGTTTTTAAATAGCTTGCATCTATTCTTGCAAAGGCTTTCATTGAACCAAACACAATCAATGGAACTTCTCCTTAGATACAGGTTCTGAGCTTTACTTTGAATATTTTTAAGGGAGTACTTGGTGTATGGTGTTAAACTTTCTCATTTTAACTAGTCTTAAATTAAGACTTGAAAAAACACTCAGCTGTCATAAATTCATAATTCTCTGATTTTTATTTTCTTACTGGTGCACCCAAGTGCCTTCTCTCTTATGATCCTCATAGCATATTCATGATAAAAAATAGTAAACTAGTTACCAACTCTGCCTACCAGATAATACTACATTTCATATGGGGTAAAGCCTTCCCAGGAAGCCAGATATGGGAGGGAAAAAAACCTGAGCCTGTAACTTCCACTGATTTGAGTGAGCTCTTGCACCCTCTTCATTCTGTAATTAGATTTTAAAATAAAGCTGAAATTTGGAAGAGATCTTCTTCTGTTACAACATGTTAGCTATGTGATCCAGGACACGGGGTCTCCCTTGTCAGACAAAGCTTTTCAGTCTTACCCTTGAAGAAGATCAGATGCCTCTGGAGGCATTCAGGCTCTAGAGATAATCAGAAGCAGACAAGGGTATTAGGCAGAACAGTCATCAGCTCTTCAAAGACACCAGCTTCTTTCTATCTTAAGCACACCCGAGGGTTCTCCCCACAGGGCTAATTTAGGCAGACATACACCGAAACTCTGAAGGAGTTTTGGAGTTTAGGAGGAGTTTAGAAGGAGAAGTCAGGCAGACTGAATCAGAGTGCAGTCACAGCTCAAATTCAGGATAGGAGTTACTGTGCAGAGGTAAGTTTTGAGAACTCCAATTTTGACTTTGGGTCCAGAGACATTCATATGTTAAACCATGCCTGTTGCATTTGCAAGTCAGTAAGATCTGCTTTGAGGCCTGGCTGAACAGAGAGCTGATTTCCCTTCTGAAGGACCTACCTGCCTCTGCAGACTAGTTTGGGAGCCTGTGCTTCTCCTTCACAGCCATGCACACAACTAGCTGGCAAGGTAGGCAAATGGTAAGTCCTGCATTTTGCAGTTGCTAAGACCCCTATCCAAATAAACCCATCAGTTGTTTTGGGGCTTTTTTTTAGTTCTGAAATAAACTTCCCTAATGTTTTGTTATACTTACTTCTACTTTTAACAATGCTTTCCATAGTTTATCATTGGCCTTACAGGCTCTTTGAAGTTCCAACATTTCTGGAGGGCAATAATAAAGAGAAATCCAATGAAGTGCTGTTCCAGGTCCTATTCTTGGGGAATATTATCTTGAGCTAGATAGCTGCTCAAAGCCTGTAATAAAAACCTCAAGGGAGTTGAGGTGCATAACTGACAGGCAAGTCAGTATTGTTTAATATTGCGCACACACTGAGAGTCTCTAAGAAAGGATATTGTACTTTAAAGTACATTAATCTGTGACTTATGGAGTGAATCACAAAAGTACATGTTTCAAATATCAGTCACTTGTTACACACTTTGTGTAACCCACCGGTCAGAAAATGTGTTACATGACACGTCTGTGTCTAATACACAAAGGATATGCGTTTATGATAGCTTTCAGTTGGAAATTCTCTTTTTGCATTAGCTGCTAAGAGTCACACATTTATGCTGGAAGTCATTGCTACAAGCTCCACAGTGGCAACTTTCAGGCTTGCAAGTGTCCCCACATAAGGCCTCTTAGTGGAAAGATTTAGAGTATGGTGAGATTCTGCGGAAAAGGGTGTCTAACATGTGGATGTGCGGGTTGATACAAGCATACATGCTCTTTAAGTTTAATATTAAGACTTCCATTAGAAATTTCTGTTCCAGAGATGAAAAGATAGAAGGTCTTCTCTGTGGTGACTCGTGACAGGACCTGAGGGAATGGCATGAAGTTGTGTCAAGGGAGGTTTAGGTTGGATATTAGAAAAAGGTTCTTCACCCAGAGGGTGGTTGGGCACTGGAACAGGCTCCCTAGGGAAGTGGTCACAGCACCAAGCCTGACAGAGTTCAAGAAGTGTTTGGATGATACTCTCAGACTCTTGAGGATGGTGCTTTGCAGGGCCAAGAGTTGGACCTGATGATCCTTGTGGGTCCCTTCCAACTCAGCATATTCTGTATTCTGTGAAGAAATCAGCTGGAGTTTTCCCCAAACTGTAACTTCTAGGGCGTTCTTCTTGATGTACTTATTTTCAGTAACTTTTACATGGTGATAAAAGCTGTAGGCAAATAATGTGCTAACGTACATCACAGCTGTTAAACTCTGAAGGAAGATCGGCAGACTCAGAAACAGCTTCAGGAGCATATAAAGAGTCACTTTCTAATCCCAGTGAATTATCTCATTAAATGCTTGTCTTTGTGCAAGAATTGGAAAAAATATCAAGTAAAGTGTTCTTGTTGAAAAATAGCCAAAAAAAGTTTGCCAGGTCAAAGCTGTGGAGAACCTCCCCCTGTGCAGTATGCATTACTATTAGTAGCCTGCTCCAGTCAGTGACTGTAAGCAAAATCAAGAAACAATATCCTGCCAGCATTAGAAGGGCATGTTTTCTGAAGGCATTGAATGAATATAAATTTCTTGATATCCTTGTACAAATGCTTGTGATGCCACTGTAATTCTGTATTTGCAGTGCAAGTCTTGTAACACCAGGGAACAGGTTGCTTGCAATGGTTTTTTGTAAGTGACTGTGAATACATGGAGGGGTACAGGATACTACAGCAACTTGATGGTAACATGGAACACATATCTTTGTCTAACCACATCCTTGTATTCTCAGGCAACGTTGTCTGCATTTGATTCAAACTATCTTCCCTGGAAGCTGGAGTAAGCTCAGTTAGTTTAGCCTAATGTAGATGCAAGAGTATAGAAATCCTAATGCCTTCTGCTGGCTAAGTAGTGGGAATGGTAACTTCCACATGACTGACAGTGATAATTGGTCTGTCTTTTAAACATTGACTATTATGGCTAAGCAAGAAAAAGGAGAAAGTCTAGTTAAAGCTTTACACTGGTAATGTCCTTGGTGTGGTGGCTTTCATCCCAGTACAGGACTCTTAAACCATTACTTCCCAGAAGCAGTGTATAAACATGGAGTTACTAAAACTGCATCTCCATCAGGGTGGATTTGCTATTTGAACATTAAGCCAGTTGTATACAAGGTCTTGACATGGTGTATATAATACAGCAGCTCTGACTGACCTCCAGATCTGGCAGTTCTTCAAATCAGTGCTCTTAATATGCAATGAACAGGTGTCTCTGGCTTTCGGATAATTGTCTTTTAAAGTTCTCTTCACAATGCTTCTGATAAGATGTCTACTGGAACATACTGCTATTTCAGCAGCAGGGTCAGCTGCATCTGTCTGCTCTTGCATGTTGTGCAAATATAATGTGTTTGCTGATTCATGTGCAGAATCACTGCAGTTCATCTTCACCCTCATTCAAAAAAGACATTAAATAATCCATAGTCCAGGCTCCATTCTAACAGTGCTAAAAACAGATGTTGGAAAACATCTTTCAGCAGTGCTACTAACTAATTTGGAGGTTGATATTACAGCTGAGCCTGTCCAAGCACAGAGTCTGAAATTGCACCCAATAAATAACTTCTCTGCAAGTTTGAGCAGCTATGAAGCTGCTTTGCTTTTGCAGCCATTAAAAGCATAAGGGACTCTAAAAGAAAATCTAAAAATTGACTAAATATGTCAAATAAGGTCTTTCCCTCATCACATCTCCAATATTTGTCCGGCTTTTAAAGGAGATAACAAGTTTCAAGCCGTTTAGCAATCTAAGCTTGCAAAGCATTTACTGTCAATAGGAGATCAGTAAAAAGCTCAGTCTCATTGTCACTTCCTGACAGGCACTAAATTGTGCTGACATTCATGAGAAGTTGCACTGCAGGTATTCCATAGCATATGTCCTAGATGAGCACTCACCCAGCTACTTATGTATGGACATGTGTGAGGGTGAACAATAGCTTGGCTTCCAGGACAACTACAGTGCTCCAATCTTTTTTGACACTTTGCAGCCTTTCAATAATCACTAAATTCCTGACAGTGGTTCCTGAAAACTTTCCAAACTTTAGCTTTGGCTAGCTTTAGCTTACTCTCTAAAGAAGGTAGAGGACTTCTTGCTGCTGTCCCATGCTAACTTCCTAATTCCCCAATGATAGAGCAGGGAATTAAATTTATCACCTTTGTCAAACTGCCAATTTTAACAGGAAACCATTATTGCCAGTGAATAATAAATGCTTTATGTTTCTCAGTTTGTTTTACTGCCTCCCCATAACTTCTTATTGGGACAGTCAGTCTCCTTCCTTACTGATCTTTAAACCTGGCTTTGTCTGGCAGAAGTTTAACTTTGTCCCTCTCTTAAAAATGGCAAAGTCAGCATCAGTAACCCCAGGAATGTATGAGGTATAAATCAGAAGCTATAAACCAGGTCTGTCATAAATTAGGCTTCTTCTAAACTATGAGATTTTGAAACCATAATATCAAGGATCTCAGGTATGCATTAAACAGGAAAAGATTTGTTGTGTGACAAAGTCTAGGGGCAACAGCATTGTGTACCAATGCCTTAAAGATACGTGAATGGAGGTATGGCAAAGAATCACTGTATTAGTTCAGCATTTGTTCAAGGAATGGAGAGGGGAGGAAGGAAGAAGTAAAAGGATGTCAGGTCAAAGTTGTCCACA